TTCAGGACCTTGCTAGGATACCATTTTGCTTTTCTGTATCTATATAAACTTTTGTAGGTTCTTTTGTATTTTGAAAATACATAAAATCAGCTTGTATATTCTTTGGTACACAGCTCTATTTTGTGTTCTACCAGCAAAATCAGCAACTTCAGCTGGACTTTTTCCTTCTGGCCACAGAAAAGGCACAGTTAACTTGTTCGCACTGGGGTGCTGGTGAGAGGTTGTAAAGGGTGTAGTACAGGAATTAGTGCATGTGTGAAGGGTTTCCTACTCTGCATTTCTCATCTCCAGAAAGCCCCACAGTGGAAGCAGCATATCATGTTTTCTGTTTGAATCACAGTTCAATTCTGCCGTACCAGAATATGTTGCTCTGAGTTGCAATTCAGTCATAAACCAATACATTTAGAATGCTTTGTTTTAAAGAAGAAATACCATGAAAGCACATCCCAAGCACACCCTGTCCATCTGTTCTCTACTGCACATCCAAGTAATTCCACTCTCCTCTGAGATGCTGGTTATTCCTTCTCCACTGGTGCCAAACAGTGAGTTCAAAATACAGATGAATGCTGAGCAGCAGGAAAAGTGGTTCCAGTAAATTAAAGAAAAGTGCTGACAGCCATTCCTCTGCTTGGTGTCCCTGGCTTTCGGTACTACAGCACAGCCTGGGGAATAAATGAGCAGTTCCCAAGCCCAGGTCATTAGTTAGCAGTTTTGTTGATTCCAACTCAAATCAGGTATGTGCTTCTGAGGGCAGTGGTTATTTCTAAATTAACACTGAGAACGGATAAACGTGTCTAGCTTTGGCTTCCTTAAATTCAAATTAATCATTAAGCTTTGCTCAAATAGCGTAACTTACTTCACTGCATATACATTTGAATTGCTGACAAAAAGGAGCTGACTGTTTGTAAATTAGCTGCTGCAATCGCAATTAGCTCTCCGCGGGCAGGGCCTCAAAGGCCAGCAGGAATTCATCGGCCATTCACCACCCCCTGCTGACCCCTCAGCCCTCTCTTCTCCATTTCTCCTTCAGCTCTTGCAGCATTTGCTGTTACTTTTTACCACCCGCTCCTTAAATTGTGACTCTCCCAGGACTCCTGTAACCCACTGACCTCTCATGTGCTGGAAGAGGGACAAACAGTGGGGTTTTCCTTGCTGAGAGAAGCGGGAGGCAGCGAAGCCGTGCCCGGCGGGCGAGTCCCAGCCCCGCTGCGGGGTCAGAGCGGTGTCCTCGCTGCTGGGGGAAAGGGCCGTGCTCCTGCTGCCTGCACTCTCCTCAGCACCTGCAAGTGCTCCAGCCCAGCTTGGACAGGGCTTGCAGCAGCCCTCTGTGGTGCCTTCCAACATAACCCGTATTTCAGCTCATTTTGGAGAAGTTTTGGAGGACTGGCTCCCGTGCAGGGCAGTGACCCACAGGAGCCCAAAGGAATCGTGCCCTCCCTGAGGCCTTTTTGGAGGGCACTCAGAGGGGGACACACTGACTGTCTGCCCCAGAGCTGAGCGACTTCTGCCTCATGTTATTGCATCCCAGGGTGAAATAAACCTCCCTCCCTTTTTTCTCCCGTTTTTTAGTGTCGAAACAGCTTTCCAGTGACTGTCACACGCTACAGCTTGCCTGAAGGTGTCCTGACTTGTTAGGAGAGACAAGCAGGAGGAATGGAAGAAGAACAAGCCCAGGGATCTGGTATTTAATCTCAGCTCTGTTACTGACTAGCAGACAGTGCCAAAAGAATGTTTTAAATGTTCCAACATTTAATGTTTTAAATGTAAGAATGTTCTCTTAAAGAACCCCAGATCATCGGGGGGAAATGCACCACCATAAACAGTCGACGCATTTGTTTGTGTGTACTTTAGCTTTTCCTTCCATAAATCCATGTTAGAAACAAACTGAAATGTCTTTTTAGATCTCTCAGAAAGCTTTCAGTTAAAAAAGTACAGGAATATGTTTGAGGAATTCTTCATCACCATTACGCATACACATATTCACTGTTAGTAATTCCACTTCGAACTCCTGAAAAAATTCTGAAGCACTGTCCCTAAAAGAAAGTAAAGTAAATAAAATCCAAGCTTTTTATTCTTCCTCAAGAAGAACTAAAACTGTTTGACCTCTTAGACTCTACTTTCAAACACTAGTGAAAGTAATGGCTAATTGTTATATTTTTAAATGTTATTATATATTTTATGTGAGATACATACATTTATGTATTTTATACTTACTAATCCCTAGTAATTTGGAGGTTGTCTTTTTAGAAGCCTCAGCCATGACTGCTGAACTCAACACAAAGCCACTGACTGAAGGGAAAAGAGACTCAGACAAAGAATCTATGTTAAAAGTATGTTAATTTTCTTGGTCATGCTTCTTAATGTGCTGAGATTTTCTACATAAGGAACATTATTTATGAATCACTCAGAGTTTTCCAGATTCTATTTTTAGAATTTCTGAGTTATAAGTAGAGAGCTTATAACTAGGCCAGAAATTGTGCTATGTGCACTTCTCTGAAATTTTTCATAAGGAAAAAATTACTAAAGAGGAGTGTAGTACACATTTGACATTTCAAATTATACTTCATTGCAAATGGTTAATAATCTTAATTTGGTCTAGATTTCTATTGGTTTTTAATTAAATTTAAAGGCAGGAAATATGATTTCTAAAGTAGACGAGATATTGATTATAAACTGATTACAAGTGTTTCTGGGCATGTTTAGTCAGGTTCATTAACACTCAGTGTTAATAGTGACCAGGTGTGTTCGTCACGTTACTGTCACTGTAGCTCCATCTTGTGGCTGAATTATTATTCTCAGTTAATTTTCGATTCTGTAGGAAAAGGTCGAAAACAAACATGAAAAACGACGAGGAGAGGAATTCACAGATCTGATTAATTTCACTGCGGTTGTTTCTATAAGAAAAAAGTGACAGGAAAAAGACAACCCAACCCTAAGTGCTTTTTAGTGCTCACCTTCCATAGCTGTAATTTGCCATGTCTAAGAGGCTAATTATAAAGTGGGGGAAGTTTTAATAAAATATTAATTAAGAAAATGAAAGAAAAAAATGTCAATAGTATTATGATTACCTGTATCAATGAGTTTATGAATCATATATACCCTGCCAATCATGTTTTGTTCCTATTTTGTACAGGTGATCAAAAATTCTGATGGACAGTTTAACCTTGAGGCTGCAATTAAAAATGTTGATACAATGGCCAATGAACTGAAGAAAATAAATGGTAATTCTGACTTCACCATCCAATTAAACAAAGACATTCTTCTAAGAGTGTGCAGTTGTGAATGGCCTGGTTTTCTGTGTCAGACAACTGAGTTTTAATGTAGTGAAGCAATAGCTTTGCTCTTGTGTTTTGAAAAATTAATGGAACAGTAGTTAGAGAGCAATAAATCATGTTAACCATGGGAAACACCTGCAAGGTGACCAGTCATTCCTTTCCAGGAACACTGAGTCTTCTAATGCAAATATTTCTAACTTGCTAACACCAACTGAATTTAACTATCTTGAAGCAAGTGAAACAAGGCAACCCTTCAACTTTTTGAGTGAGTTGATAGATGAACACTAAAACAATGCTGTCTGTAGATTACCATTCACTGTCATTCAGTAAATATCATGCTGATACGTTGACCTTTGTCTTCCAGTGGACAGCCAGCTATTGCTTTGTGACCTGATTGTGAATTTCAACCATCCTGTGAAGGCCAAAGATTTAAGAGAAGCTGAAGAAAAGACTTGGAGTTTGACAGATTAAGTAACATCCATTTTTATGTATTGTCTTCTATTAATGCTGATGAAACTGCTGCTTTTTCTTCTTTCTTCTTTCTTTTAATTAAGTTTGGACCGTTCAATGATAGCATGGTTTCCTGCAGTTAAACTATTTTTATTTTAAGCTAAACATGTGAAATGGAAAAAAAGAGTAGGTTATTGGTTCTGAGAGGGGTTTTTCAACCCACATTTTTCAAATTAAGCCCACTAGGACTGGAAAGACTGATGTAATTAATTAAAAAGGTTATGACATTGGGCATGAAGTTTTTTCAGGTGGTTTTCTCCTTTTAAACAAAGACATGTTGGAACAGTAACAAAAGATTTGAAATTTGCTTCAAGTCACTGCTCTCTTATCTCAGTTGTGCTCAGAGAAACAGAAGGAAAGAAAGAAACTATCAGTGAAGGAGGAACTGCAACTTGTGTTTTGAGCTGCCTTCCTCATCTTAAAAATATTGCTGAGGAAGGAGTCAAGGAGCAGATTATTTCTGGAAAACTAAAAGTACTTTCCATTCTAGTTTCTGTAATGACTCTCTAATGCAACTAGCTACAAAAATAGGGTGAAGTTTGTGGTTTCAATGCTCTATCCTGAAATCTTCTTGGCCTAACATTTGCACAGCCACTGCTTTCATGTAGTTCATTGCCATTAATATTCAATCACACTTTACTTGTGAACATGTTTAAATGTTGAGATGTATTTTTATTCTTACACCAAATATCTTTCTCTGAATAATCAAATAGAGATTTATTCTACTTTAAAAAATATGCAGTGTTAGAATTTATTATGCTGGTTTATATTTTCTTTCTCCTTCACTGGTGAGATGGTTTAAAATTAATAAAACAAATTCCATAGGAGGTGTTTCTAGGTTGTCAGATTTTTCAAGGCAGGGCAATGGAACAGAATTACAGTTCACAAGAGTCAGTGGTGATATGGGGGATGTTGTTCTTAATTTTAACAGTTTTTGAAAAAGACATATTTGGAGTCACTTTGTGTTCATCAGATTAGGAGACAACTTTTAAAAATATTGGGCTAGAAGCAGCTTTTGTCAGCTGAAGAATTTTTTTAATTTTATTTTTCATCTTTATTTTTGGACTCATAGTTGCATGGAAATGAACTTTGCTAGCTTTGAATTCCAGCTCTTACCCAAACATCTTAGAAAGTAACATCTACAAAACATATTTCTATAAGAAAAACTGTTTATGAAATCTGATTATGTTATCTGGGAAGCTTTACCGATTATATGAAAGGTATTTTCTACCTTGAATTTTGGTTCCAGTGTTTTAACTGATACAGACACAATAGCTTTAAATGAGAAAAAGTGTGATAATGTCATAATTATCAAACCAAGGTCTTTTCAGAACACAGAGTAAATTAAAACCCAAGGCAAAAGGTTGGATAAATTCCACTTAACAGAGGTGAGGGAAAACTCTTGGTACGGGGTGCTTCAGTGTTCCTCAGCTGCAACTTGTATTTCTGAACTGAGTCCCTTTTTTTCTTTAAAACATCCAGTAAAACAGAAAGCAGTTGTGCAAGAGGAACTAGATTTGGCCTGACTGTGTGCTTTCTAAGAGATTGGGGGGGTTCTGCCACTTAAGGATCACATGATGATAATTTTTGTTGATGTGCTCCCTGTAAAAATGCAGTTGCTTGATTCAGTCAGAAAGACACAGCTGAAGAGAGATCTGTGTGGGAAAATCTTTTTTCTGAGTGAGGTTAGAGAATTCTAGGAAGTAGAAGGTTCCAGTTGTGGGCTGAGGCATGGAATCCCCAGTGCTGTGGCAGAGATGGTGTGCTGTCTGTGGGTGTGGTGTTTTCCTGCAAAAGTGGGAACAAACAGTTTCACAGCTGAGTAACCCAGACAGGATCCTGCATTTCGAGGGTTGGAGGGGTTTTGGTGCCACTGAAACCCATGTGTCTTTCAGATCTCAGCTGATCTTTTCGTAGAAGTGAGCAGAGGTAGATTGATTTATTTATTGAGGAAAAATGGGCTTTTATCTTGTCTGCTCCTCACCTTTGACAATGTTTGGGTCTACTCTGTATTCACTTCAAATAACAAAATTGCTGTTGCCATTCTGATCCAAAAGAAGAGCTCCTATGAAAGCAGAGACTTGTACTGATATTTATTTATGGTTCATCAAATTTGGTGTGGAAATAATTTCAAGAGGATATACATATCTTGGAAGATAAAAAATTCTCATGTGCTGTATGATTAATGGACAGTAATAAACACTTTGTAGGAAAATTATATTTCTAGAACACTCTATTTAAGGCATAATTTAAAAATAACATAGTCCTTTTTCTTTGAAACCATGAATTTTAATGACTTCATGATTTTAGTTTGCTGAAAAGGGAAATATCTTGAAGTTTATAAACTTCAGTAGGGTTCAGTACCATATGTGATCTTCTCTAAAATTTCATTTAAACATGTCCTGCCGCATATTTTAACATGCACTGGTTTCTTGAGCCTCTGTCTTTTCCATCAATCAGAAGAAGAGGTGTTCTTTGGAAGTGGTCAATGATATCTGCTACAGAAGAAAATTCCTGTGGGATGGAAAAAGTGAGAAGGCTAAGGCCAAAATGTCAGAATTATTAGTAACCAGTAGAAACAAAAGGGTTTTTTTTTTAATTCTAACTATTTATCAATATTATAAAAAAATAAATAAGGTCCAGATCAACCATTCTCATTCCTGCCATGATCTGTAGCTCAGTAATTCTGTGTACAAGCTGCTGCAATGTTGTATAATTAATTTCTGTAGTCTTCATCTGTTTAATATGTGCTGTTGTCACTGTGCTTGATGTGGTAACTGTACTTGAGAGTTCAGAGGTGGCTGATCAGTTCAGGGGTTCTGTCTGGATCAGAATTGCCAGGAATGTGCTGATCAGTCTGGTGCCAGCAAATCCACCCAGTCCTGCAAGCTGGAGCTGAGCCACCAGTCTGGGAGCAAAGCTGGAAAGTGGCAGGTTTGGATTAGCTGTCAGCTCTGCATTTCCCTTCTCTGGTATCTCAGTGGTAAACAAACATCCCCGAACCGCGCACATGGATTTCTAATGGCCGTGTTCTAAGGCCACCCCTTCATTCCCTGAGTGCAAACTGCATAACCTGATTCTCCTTCCACCAATAACAATATTCTCCTGTGAATAACTCTGAGACAACAAGCAGAATTCCACCCCAGGAGAACAATCACCTGGCACTGAGGAATGAGGCAGGGATGCCTTACAATGAAGAGATGTAGTGTGAAAAACACATAATACCTCTTTTCCTTTTAAGCTGGTTCCTAATAAATATAAGTGGTCCTGCTGCTGGTACCGGATCTGGATGTTGTACACTTTATCTCTGTACAGCACCATCAGTACATATGGGTGAGTGACAGTTTTTCGTGAGCTGTCTCTCACCAAGAATGTTCCATCCTGAAACATGAAAAAATGAAAGATGACAGATAGCATCTCTGGGTTTGATCAGTGTAACAACTTTCACTAGAGCACTCATGCTTCTAAGTGTGTTTTCTTTCTGAAATCTTTTTCCTTTCTGATAAGAGAAACTGCACTACTAAAGCATTTAGGTCTTTTGACAAATGTGTTGTCTTTCAGTTTGCTACTTCAAACTTTCCACTCTGTTACAAAAGCAGATTCTAAGGGAAGGTAGGGATGCTGTTGTATGAGGGAGAGATTCCATTAAAGAAGGAAGTAAAATATCAAAGACCAAACCTCACATCACTTTAATCAGAAGAGAAGTTCATTTCCACTAAGTGCCAATCATGTTTCCTACGTGATGTATTTATAGACGGCTTAAAATAATGACATTGTCTGTGTAATTTAGATAAAGGCAGTGATACTGTACCACTCTCTCTGCTTTTCTTAATTTCAGGTCTACTTTGACAAGCCCTCCATTAGAATCCCTTTCTTAAAGGCACTGAATGGGACCTCATAAGCTGGACTTTAGCACAAGCCACTGGAGTGGTGCACATGCCATCTTCAGCTCATGGCAAGTGTAGTGAGACAGCACAGGGTAACCACAACTCCCACAGCAATAATTCTGTTTATCTTCATGATTTTAATTTATTTCCACATGTGCAGATAAGCCTTGTTTGTACCTGTACTTAATTTTGCTGGTCTCTATGGCCTAGAAAAGGGTGGGATTCCCAGCCCTGTGCAGGTACCTTGTTTATCCTGCGGAGCGCTGTCTCTGCCTCGGGCCGGCTGACAAAAGCCACGTACCACTCATCCTTCAGAGAGCCCTGGGGCTGGGGAACAGGACATGGACAAAGTCAACTGCCAGGGAATGGCAACTATCACAGTAGAGACAGACAATGACACCTGTTTCTTCTTCCATCATAGCCCCATCTTTATTGCACACAGCTCATATTTATATGGTTATCAGAAGGCACCATGTTTCATTCCAGTTGGTTAGGAACTCACTGGTTGGTAATGGTGAGTGTACACATCAATCAAAACTTTTGTTTCTAACAATATTTACATACTTTTTCTACTGATTCTCATGGAACAGATCCCTCGTTATTACAGGTGCACTTGTTTTTCTGCCCAAGAATAGCTTTTTATGTTAACAAACTTTTCATTTTCAAGATGGGAACTTATCAAGCTAGCTGCTAGTTATACTTAGCCAAAATAACAAGGCCTGAACCATGATCTTACAAGGCATTTCTTTTGTAAGGTTTTACCTATATGTGACAGGCAACATGCAAAGAAGAGAGAGAGATTTCAGTGTGAGGGATATGTGGGTCTGTGTGAAGAATCTCTGAGGGTATGTGTGTCACAGATCACACTGCTATTATGGTATGGAAAGTGCTGCTAAGTTGTTTTAAATTACCTGCTCACTTTGATAAATGTGAAAATATTACAGATCTACCTATAATGCCCTTGCAGGTGAGCTAAGAAAATAGGTATTTCCAAAGACCTTCAGTAAAAGATGTTTGGTATAAGTGGTATGTTCTTTTTTATCTACCTGGACACTAGGCACAAAGGTGCCTTAACTATCCTTGACTATCATCTGAGACTATAATGCAGACTTCCTGTGAATGTATTATTTATGGTTGCCCAGCAGTGCTATCACCATGAGTGGTTTGCTCTAAACTTGTTTTATTTAAGGAAATGTGAAGCAAAAATGCACTTATAAGACCGAGTCTTTTACTCATTAAAGTTTTGTGGACGGAAAACTGAAAATCTGATGCTGCTTGAAGGCAGTTGTGCAAAACAAGTAATCCAGCAAATAAGTATTTTTCTTATTTTGTTCTGCTGGGGTTCAGCTCTTACTGTTTTTCTTGGTGAGGACAAAATAAGACACTACAGTTTGACACAGAAAAGGAAACTGAAAGCACTCAGTATGTCCTGACAGTGACTACTGACTAGAAGAACAACTTTGAAAGACGTTCTCTCTCAAAGCCAGAAAACTGGCTGTCTTTACACTTATGGTTCATATTTTGTACCTCATGTTCCTCATGTGTGTTTGTCTGGTGAACAGTCTGTCTGCTAGGAGCTGGCAATGGAGGTCTCATGTCAGCTGGGCCTCTTGAAGGAGATCTGCTGTTGCTGCCTTCAGAGATACAAAAGTAGAAAAACTGTTAAAACAAGGAAAATAATTTCATCTGTGCGCCCAGGGTGTAGGATCTTGATTTTATGAAGCATGGAGTATTTGTATCACCCTGGTACTGAGACATCTAGAAATTATTTGAAATCTGCTTTAGGTTTCTCTATGAGAACCAGGTTCTTTACATAATTCCATCCTTGGTGCACAGGGACTTTAACTGAGCTCTTGTGGTTCAGATTTTCAGTAGAACAGATGAACTTGAAATAGGGGTGACATCAGTTTCTGTACCACAGTTACTCGCTTGAGGGCATCTTCTTTAGAGACAGAAGTAATATTGTCTCTTTGCAATCCTTGCCTTCTCAGCAATAAGAAAGTAAAAAATGTCACTGTAGGATATTGACACGTGTTACCATGTGCAAAAAATTACTTGTAAGGCAATCGATGTCTAAGTTTTCTTTATTTTTTTTTTCTTAAAAGATAAATATGGAGCATATTTCACATGAAAAGCATTTGCTAATCTTTTTGGGGAGTATTAGCATACCACAGTGATTTGCATAGCTCAGCTCTCAGTACTGTACAGAAAAGGATGGTTTTATGAAGTTTTGACACTGATTTAACTAGGCAAGAAGCCTAAACTTCATGGGGGAAAAAAAAGGCTTAAAATCTTTAATTCAGACTAAGTAAGGTACACAAGATGCCTTTCAAGAACTTGATAGTTTTCTGTTCACAGTCCAAGAAGAAATATCCATTTAAAAAAACCAAAAAAATTATTGACTTCATTGAAACTATCTTTCCACTTTCATTCACTTAAAGAAGAAAAAAAGTATAAGAATGCAGGATACAAACCTGGATGGAAGCGTGGTGGTAGAGAGCCAGTTGAAGACAGGTTTCTAGCACTGTTTAAAAAAAAAGAGTAGTCAGTATAAACAGAACATTTCTCTACAACATTTCTGTGTTCTGATCACCTGATCTGGACTTTGTGCCTGTTTTACAGAATGTGAGAGCCCCTTGAGACCTGTTCAGGGTGAGGAGAGCCTTCTCTGTTCTTCTTTTTGTTTTTCTTTCCTTCTTTTTGTGTAAGTGGATCCACCTTTAAGTTTACCTGGAGCTCAGTACCTGGGTATAAGGTAATCAGTAAAGGCCACCGAGGTTTCTGTACCAGGATCAATGGAGAGAAGTACTTCAGCTTCTCAGTGGAGTTTTCACAGGGAATGACTCCATCCTTCCCCCAGAGCAGGAAGCACAGGGCTCACCAGAGCTTTCTCGCTGCAGGGTTCCACTTAACAGAGTTATTTTTCTTGCGACTTCTCTAACATTGTTGATAAAAATGTAGCATCACATTTATGTTGCAAGCTGGGAAGAACCAGCAACATCAGGGACTGGGGCATCTCCCACATGAGGAAAGGCTGAGGGAGCTGGAAGCTGAGAAGGCTCAGGAAGCACAGAAATATTTGAAGGAAGAGCCAGGCTCTTTTCACTGGTGCCCAGTGACAAGACCAGAGTTTCCCTTGGAACATCAGGAAACATTTTTTAATGTGAGGGCAAACAAGCACTGGAGCAAGTTGCCAAGAATGCTGTGGAATCTCTCTCTTTCCTTGGAGACATTCAAATGCCACCTGGACATAGTACCAGGCAGGCTGTTCAAGGTGACCTTGCTTGGGAAGGGGGTTGGACCAGAAGACATCCAGAGATCTCTGCCAACCTCAACCCACATCCAAAACTGCTCAAAATGGAGTCACACGCTTCAATTTCTGTTATTATTTTTTGTTTCTTCACCTAATTGAGAATAAATGGCCTGCACTCCTTTCCTTTACTGTTCATATTTCTCTTCTGCTTAAATGAGCTGTTGAAAAGACTCTGAGATAAATATGCTAATTTTGTTTGCACAGCAAAAACACCCTATCATGACTTGATTTATGGGAGAGAATCAGTCAAACCGGGGGCCTCTGCTACAGCAAATTTGGCAATGCTCTTTGAATATAAGCAGAAGTGTTCATCATAGGAATAGTTCAATTTGCATATGACCTTGCTATTGCTACTGCAATATTCGTTTTGCTTGGGTGTCAGCAACTCCAGAGAATGATGGTAAATGTGAGGAATTCATCAAAGAGCCATTAAAAAATATAGAGATTAGAAAATGTGCATCAGACATGGACTCAAGGAGCCAGCTCTAAGTCATCAAAGTTCAGGTCTGTTGCATGGTACATCAGAAATCAAAATTTAATTAGGGACTTTCCTGTCTATCAAATGAAGGCATAACAATCAAATATTTTTAAGTTGAAGCTGGGAAAAAATTACAGCAAGGCTCACAATTTTAAATAGGAATTATCAACCGTTAGAGTAAAGTTTAGTAAATGGGAGGTAAAATTCTTTCAGATTCAATTCCAGACAACCAGGGTTATGGGTTTTTTTTAGTTTTTAGAAGTGTGAGGAGTTACATCTCTAACACTTAAGCTCTTAGAGTGTGCAGGGCTCCTTTGTCCTGAATCCTGCCTAGTAGGAGATGGTCCCTTCCCAAAACAACTGGTCATTCTTATGGATCCTTCAAGCAATGGGAGAGGTGTCTCAAAAATGGAAGCCTTGTACTGTGTAGGGTCTTGATGCCTTAGGATTTTAGCTTTTATATTTCTCAGATCCTGTCCTGCTTTAGTGTATAACTCTAAAACTCCATAGGCTGTCAGCTGCTGCTCTCACATGTTACTGAGACAAAACAATTCCTCTCTGGGCCTGAAACTCAAGGACACCTCACTGCCTCAGGCCCTGAGAGATGTAAACAGTGAATTGGAGGGGTGAAACTTGGAGTAAATTACTTCATTACCTGGAAGCTGTAACTGGAGGATTAACCCCTGATATGTAAATGGACCAAACTTTTAATTGTATGAAAAACTGGAGACCATCATCCATCTTGGGTGTGTCCCCCCTGAGGCTTCTGACTGCCCAAGGTGCATCTATTGAAGGCCTTCAATAAATACCTGCTTTTATTATCTTAAGTTTGTCTAACCTCTGTCCTAGGTAGCCACTCCATCAGTTTTAAAAACTTCCTTGCCATAAAACAGAGAGATTCATGGTTTTTTTCTTGTCTAATGTACACTCTCTACTCCACTGATACAGAGCTTAAATTCTATAAAGGATTCTCCTGGATAGTAGGAACATCACTAATTAGCATTTTGTAGACGCAAGGGCACAGTCTTAGTACTGAACTACCCAGAGACTGATGTTCAAAAGGAATGAGCAATAATGGTGAAACAAACCTTTCTGCAGCAGGAATGCTGTTGGATCCTGGCTTAGGTGGAGGCTTGACAGATTTGGGTGGGAATGCATTGGAGCTATATGGGTGCAAAGACAGCTGTGGCACTGGTCTTTGGAGGGCAGCTGTGGAGAGGAAGAGAAGGAAACTTAAATCCTACATGAGATATTCTTAAATGAAGTAGAATGAAGAAATTCTGTCACCTTACTGCTGTTTCATTAGATAAATATAATGCAGTAAAATGTCCTTGATATGTTAGTTACAGATTAGAAACTCATATGGTCAGCTCAGAACTTAAAACTAGATATTAAAATTAAAAATAAACTGGAACTGGATTGAGCAATATTTACATTTTCTGACTTCTGTTTTGGATAAGCCACAATTCAGGTATGTGAACTGCAGCAGAGCTGAAGGTGGTACATGTTTTCTGTCACATTGCTTCTAAATAGCAGATTTGATATCACCTTTTTGAACATCATTCTGAGATTTCTCCTAGCATGAAATAAAACATTTTCTTTCTGCGGTGTCCTCAGACCTGAACTAGCAGTAAGAGTAGAACAGATTTGTGCTCTGCATACCTTAAATAATCTTTTTCTTTATGGAGGCTTAGGGGCAGTGATAATTCATAGAGACTTGGCCAAATGTCCTGCTTCTGTTATAGAGTCACTTTACCAACTTAATTTCAGAAATCAGCATTCTGCAGTAATTTAGAGACACTGTTGGTACATGGAAGAAGTTCTGCTTTTGTTCATAAAAGTGACTAACATAGCACAGAGCCTGCTGCCAGCAGGGTTTGCTGAGGACTGGGAGACATCAGGTTTCTGTTTCCAGCTGTTTGATGCAGTGTGCAGAACACAAATCTCTCTACTGTAATGTATTTCAAAATAAGAAATCCTGCTGGCTGACTGGAGGAAGCTATTAGCTATTGATTTCCTGGGGTTTGTGGCTTTGATATATAAATCTGCATGAGGCACTTTATATGAATTCTACAGCCTATCAGGGTACCACCTGACTTTAGAAATGGCTCTAAGGAAACAACTCTGAAATAATTCCCTATTTTACTTTCTTTTTTTTTTAGAATTAAGACGAAGAAAGATTTTAAGTTTGAAAAATCACTGTAGAAATACTTACTGTCTTCTTCTTCCTGGGGAGCCAAAAAAAAAAAAAACCATTAGCAATGTATTATAGCACAGTTCCTAGGGATGTTTTACAAAACAAAATCTGAACATTGGTGAATTTTGATTATACAGGGACTCCTAATACCTACACTGTCACTTCCCTCTAAAGTTTTGTTTTGTCTTCATGCAACACCAAATATTTCTAAAGTTTTCACATTAAAGTGCAGCTATTATTTACAAGCAAAATGTGTGATGGATGTCCCGTAGTGTGTATTGACCTAAAACAGTCATAAACTCTCAGGAGATATAAACTTTCTTTATTTCTTCAAGTAAGTGTAGACTTTCAGAGTTATCTGAAAGTGAAACTTTTAGGTCAGCTTAAGCTGAAAAAATCCCCAGAAGCCCAAATCTTCTTTAAGCAAAACCACTTCTCTCTGTGTCATAGAAGAAATTCTGGCTTTATTCTTCCTGTTATCCAAGATAAAGTTCTCAGGGAACAAACTGAGCTTGACACAGAAGAACTGTTTAAAAACACCCCATGTGCTATGGAAAGATCCACGAGTATTCCTTATAATTTATGAAAGAGACAAGTTTACCTTTTCCAGCATTATTAGTTTATACAGGTACTTAATTTTACTGTAACCCCTATACTTCTAGATATATGCTTTGAGACTATACTTACTTCATTTTTCTTGTGTGGTGGCCAAATCTGTCTGAAATGAAAACAAAACACTCATCATAGGTGGAATAATACTCATTTACTTTGTGTGCATTAGGCCATATTTTCAAGTAGAACAGGAATTTATAGTAAATTTTAAAGACCAATGGATGCAGAAACATTTTTTCCTCATAAAAACATTTAAGATTCTAATTTTCAGCCATAATCTAAGGCATTATTGTAGTCCTTAGCCCATCTTGATTTTATCAATAAGGAAAATGTCTGATGATTGTAAGATTAGAGCTTGAAACAAGTTTTGTACAATGATGAAACACCAGTGTTCAAGTCTTGGACTCATTTATAATATTTGACAGCACTGCTGGAGCACATCATAAGGATATCAGGCTTTGTTTCTCTGATAAATTATCCTGGCTGATTAGCAGATCTCAATTATTTCTTCTCTTGTTTTAAGTTCAGTCAGTATTCAGCCCCCAGGTTTTCTAGAAAATGCTGGGGAATAATGGGGAATGCAGGAAAACCCTGCTGGCTGTTAAGAAGGAGTTTTGCAGGCTAATAAAATCAATGGGATGAAAATAAAGGTTTCCTTTTCTAACACCCTTAAACAACAGCAATAGAACTCATGTAAGAATGTTCCCTAGAACAAGAACTTGCTCTGGTGGAAAAAATATGGATCATGCATATCCTTGTGTGACTTGGAAGTGAGTTGTGCCCCATGTAATGGCTCTTTCACATATGACTAGAGAGATTTTCTGCATTCACACCTTTTTGCAGCTTCAAGCACATCCTGTGCATATTAATAAACCAAAACTTTGATATCCACAGACCCTGCTGTGGTGCAGTACCAGTAAATCAGACCATTAACAAGTACAACTATCAGTAAGTCAGATATTTTTGTTAAATTTCATTTCTCCTTATTGAATCTCAATTAAATGAGCACTTACTTTCCAGGGCTTTGCTTCCTTAGAGGAGGTGGATTGCCTCTTTCATATCTGTCACTTGGTGGGACAGGAGGTTTTGGCATCATTGCTAATTGTTCTCCCAGGGATCTAAAGCAGGAGAGAGATGAAATAAAGGCAAAAAGCTGCTTATTAAGAAATAACTGGGGAATACTGGCAATGAGAGGATCGTTTGCAGAGGACAAACTCTTACCTGAGCTGTGAAACCAGAGGCTGTAAAACAACAAGGAGTAGTTAAGAGAATGTATAAGTGTATCAAAATAGGCAAAAATTATCAATAATCACCAAAAAAAAATATTACCTTTTCAGGAATGCCTGGCTTCTTCCCTGAAAACAGTAAAAGCTTACATTTAGAAAAAAAATGGAAGTTAATTAATTAAACTTCCTATGAAATAAATGAGTTTTGCATAAAATTCAAAGTCAATCTTGCAGGCTGAAGAACTCACATCCTGAGATGAAAGCCAGAAAAATACCTTGGTTTTGCAAGTGGTGGTAAAATTGCAATCTCTTTTATTAAAGGGAAATTTGAACAATTTCAGCATGGCATGTGTCACAATCACATTATCTAAGGTTCAGCTTTGAACTACTGGATACTTTTTTTGCTATTATATAACAGATAAGAGTTTAGATAATAAAATTGTAGAGTCATATCTGTAGATGCTTTGTGTAATGTGGTTTTCAGGTCTGAAGGAAATGCCATTTTTTCTGTGTTCTATTAGTTCTCATCCTTCTTTTAAGTCTCTTGCCACATTACCTACAGCAGTGTATACAGAGTTTCACTACCTTTGTATGCAAAGGTGATTTCCTCCTTTAACCTATTAAATATTTCCATGTTCAATCAATTAAGTGGACATCAAACCTTTATTACACAGGGTTTTCATAATGTCTTTCTGTTCATCTGTCTGATTCAGGGTTGTTTTTAGATGAAATTTCTCTCCCACTTTGTAAGTTGTGCTCACACCATTTATTCATAAACAGATGACTTTGATTACATCTGGTTGAGCCTTGTTCTTTTCCATTAATTATATACAAACTGATGATTTTCAGTAATTAAAGCAACCCCAGTGATATTAATGCAAGCAAATACTGACCTGATCCTGGGCTTTCTCTTTCATATGGGGGAGCAAAACGATCCAGAGAGGGTTTTGTGCTTCTGTCTATAGAAGGAGCTGGGGCTAAACATAACAACTGTGTAAGATCATTTGCTGGTATAGAGCAATATATATTTATTTTGCATAGATTAGAACTGGTGTTACTTTGTAAAATAACAATTCATTCTCCTGTAGGAGTAGCAGAAGAGAGTGGAACTGAGGGAAAAGAGGGAAAAGTGAAGTGCAGTCTTGGGAAAACTTTACAGAGAGAACACCAGCTGTACTCACGTTTCAAAGGCTTCATGTTTCTGTCTCTACTCAAGTCGTTGTTGCTTGGTGGAGGAGGGAAAGCTGGCAGCTAAAACAAGTATTTAACAAGTGGTTAAAATGTGTCTTTGCCTTTCTCCTTTTGAGTGTATTAACCCTACCGCATACATCTGCCTCTCTTGTGTGGTACAGCACAAGGAGCAGGTCTCTGCTCGTGGCAGGAAGGAGCCAGGACCCTCCTGAGGCTTGACCTACACTCACTGGGTTTTGTTGGGTGCAGAACTGCCTCCATCTGCTTCCTCCCAACACTCAGTGGGATGTCTCCTGAGGAAGGGGGTGTGGATTGTCCAATGAAAGGAACAGGAGCTTCAACAACGCTGTTGGATCTCTGTGACACTGCATCAGACCAAAAGTCCCTGCAGCACATCCTGGACCTCTACTTGTGTATACATTGGTAGGTTTAGTGTATATCTGTTCTTGCAAACACTGAACCTATAGTGTCAGCTGTCAACAGCACAAGAGCTTTCCGTTTTGAAGTAGGCACAGCAGGAAAAAGAAAGTAATCAAATACTGGCCATCATTGTTCTGATTATACAGTCTCTTACACTTTTATGTGGTCCTAATTCAATTGGGCAACTGCTAGAAGTATAGCTTGGAAAAATATAACCTTTTCTTCAAAACAGAGGCATCTCTTACAAATCTATCATTTGTGTGGGAGAGGCATTCACAAGTAGGTGCATATTTCCAGTGTAAGAATCAATGAAGTAATATGAAATAATTAAATATATTTCTCCCATGAAATGTAAGTGTTCCTTGAACAATGGCCACCTTGTAACAGAGTTCAAATCTGTTTTGATGGCTTTCTCTTCATTCACTAGGTGAGTGAAAATGGTCCTACACTTGGACTCCTAAGAAGGTCCTGGGATAGAAAATAGGTGAGATATTAAGAAAGGAGCATACAGTAACACTTCTTCCCCCAAATGAGGCTGGGCCAGGTCGCTGGGGAGGTACTGGAGGCTGATGTGGTGATCTGGTTGTTGAAGGTCTGTCTAAAGAGAACAAAAATCCCAAACTAAGAAACTACGCAGAGTTTGATTATCTAATACTCATTAGATCTTTATGACAAAGAGCCCTTACAAGAACCTGACTACTGAAATTAATAAATCATAGAGACATTGCAGTAGGATTTGACTGGCAGTTGTTTTAGGATCAGTGTTGGGAGTTCCAGGCTGGTGTGTCTCTGTGGGATGACTCCCCTGCCAGGCTCTTGGCCACAGGATTTATTTTATTCCTGCAGCCTTGAGTGCGAAACACCAGCCAATCTGAATGGCAGCTTTGTGCTCCTGAATGGACTCCACACCTCCAGGCTGCTGAGGAATCAGACATAAAACAAAAACAACAGGCAGGGACAGCTGATTGTTCTTTTCCCAAGTCTCACTAGTTGTTTTGCCATTGTTGTGGCAACCTGCTCTGTCCAAGGCTGCACTGCTAAAGCTACTGAAGCATGTATATGTGTGTAACTTCATACAGGTTCAAATCAAAGGCCAAATACTGCACACATCACACAAAACTAATCTTTATTCCAACAGAGCTTGTCCAAAGTAGAAAATGTAACTTTAAAAGTCACAAGCTCACAGAATTTGTGTCACTAAATCTTGCTCATGAACTACACTGCTACCTTCAAGGAAAAGTCTCTATTCCATTATCACCCACCTAAAATGTGGCTGATAACATGGGAAAAAATCTAATTTGTAAATCATTTATAGCACTTAATTTTTAGTAATTACCTATATAATCTGTGCTGCTTGGAAGTGACTTGACAGGAAATATGACATTGTGATGTGCTTCATCATTATTGGTTGGAGGTGGCTCATAACCATCACTGTCATGTCCTGCTTCCTCAGGCTCCTCTGTTGGTGATTCATAGTCAGCCTCATCTTCCTTTTCTTGGTCTTCATCAGGGCTTTCGTAGTCATCATCATCATCATCATCATCCTGGCAAACAAGCATAAAAAGTGGATGTTGGCAGAGAACACTAAACCCTTCAGAGCAGTTTCCTTGGGGCCTTTCACAGTGGGATTTTTCACTCTGGAAAATACCAAGTTTTTACAAACAGTTTGAGGGGAAAAAAATTTTTTGAAATAATAGAGGGAAAGGGGGCAACATTCCACTAATGCATGGAGCACTCAAGAGCTTAAGAAACAAAACAAATATCCTTTGATGACAGTGAGTACAGTGGGAGGTCAAGATAAAGTGCAAGTTTACTGAAATGTGTGAAGTGTTTTAGGGAACAGACAAGGCACCAGCAAACAAGCCAGTGTTCCTAGGAACACAATGGAGCAGCAGTTGATGCTGCTGATATTAATTCTTTTATTCATTTCCTGCTTTCTACAGCATGCAACCCAAGTTTTGAAAAATCATTCATAAAAACTAAGGTCTTTGATTTGACTCTTGGCATGCTCCTGACTCAAACCAGCCTCGTTTGCAGGACCTCACAAGGTGACAGTGTCAATACGGTCACTGCACTTCTGTGCAATCTGCCGAGGCTTGAGAGAAAAAGAACACTCCATTTGTCACTGGTACCACAGCTGGAATTTCCACAGTCCTCTGCACTGGCATAGAGCCCAGGTGCTCTGTAAGTGGTTACTTTTGTGCTCCCAGAACAGCAGCAAATCTCCTGTGAGTTTAGTAACAAGTGTCTTCTAAAAACGCCTCTCCCTTTTATTTTTGAAGAAAAGCCATTAGCACTGGTCAGCCTTGGAGATCTTCATACAGGCAGGCTGTGCATCAGCAGCTCAGGTGGGTGTGTTTCACCAAATGACCTTGGCAAGGTATTTCCTATGCCAAAAGGCAGAAGGAACTTCTGCAGTCTAAATAGCTTGGAAAAAAAAATTACTGTTCAATAAATTGGTTCTAAATGGCAAGAATTTGCCATTGAATAACACAACAACTTTGCATCTACTAACACCTCATTTAAGAGCTTGAGACAGGTATGTAAAACTCAGCTGTGGTTCCTTGGGGACCTGCTCAGAGGCTGGGAGCTTCTGCTCGAGCCAGTGGAATAGGAAGGCAATTCTGTATTTCTGGGGGAGAACCTTTTCTCTGTGAGGAAATCTGTATCCAGCCACTCCTGCTTTTCCTCCCCCAGCCTCCCCAAGCAGCCAGTGCAGGAAGGGACAGCCCCTCCTGAGCCAGGGGGTTTTCTTAACCCAAATACTCACAAACGAGGACCAGCCACCGTCATCCTGAGCGTACCCTGGGGAAAGAAGCACAACCATACATTTCTTTGTCAAAGACGTAATAACTTGTCAGAAACAACCCAGCAAATCCCAGGTGAATTCTGAACCTCAGAACTGTGCCACAGGAACGAGCTGTTCTTTCAGAGTCACGGATGGCACCGTGAATAACATCCTGATTCAAAACTAAGATAAGGCTGCCCTGCTGTGACATGATCTGGGTGCTGGCACTTCGAGTTTGTCCCACTTCCAATTTAAATTATATCATTTGAAACAAAATGCTTTCAGAACGAGCCCGGGCTTCTTATCTCCTTGTTTAAGACTTTTTTAGCTTTCATAAAAGAAGGGTTTGTTGTTGTTTTTTTTTTTAATTTCAGCTTCCCTCTCTAATTCCGTGCTGCTGGGAGGAAGGGCAAGGGGTGGAGATGTTGGAAGAGAAATATATAAGCAGTGATACAATTTATTGGGTTAAAGAAAGACATTTTGATGATTCTCAGGTATAAGTCTCAACTCTTGCCTTCCTTCACCATCTTTTCTCTTTAAAAACATTTTTTCTTATTATTCTCTTTGTTACTATTTCCCTTTTTCTTCTTATTCCATCCTGCATCTACACTTTTCTTTTTTCTTTATACTCCCATATTTTCATTTATTGTTTTGGATTTTTGGTTCCTAATCCTGCTCCCCTCTGTTGACTCTGCAAGTATTAATTTAATATTTTAATATTTTTAAGCATTTTTGTTGCTAGGATCTGCCAGTATACACTTACCTGTGTTTTCTGGAGATTTTTGTGTTTGGACCCTGCAACAAAGATACAAAAAAGAAATTCTTTCCATTAAATGTTTGATGCTTCTATTGCAAATAAAGGCGATAGTTAACTGTTACAGTAGAATGAAGTTTACACAGATAAGTTTCACTCTGCCCAAAATGCCAAAAAAATATTAGTTGATGTTTAGATAGAGGATCCTAATAAAAACTTTGTTTCAAGGAGAATTGAAGTCAGAGAAATCAAGTGGTTTGAAGCAAGGGGCTCAGAAAATACATTTACCAGTCCTGAAAAGAGAAACTTCAAAGTCAAGTTCATAAATGTAAAGTTAAATAAGGTTTTTATGGTTTTCAACTGTAGTTTTGGGTTCTAGTGACTAGAAGAGTGTAAAATCCTGTTATCAGCTGATGCAAAACCATGGTTTGTAGACTGGACTTGGTTTTCATCGGGTAGGTTCATAAATTGTTCTTTTCTCATAGAATGTTCTTGTAATTTTTGCTCTTCTTCTATTGTGAATATTATTTTCAGTGACAAATATTAAGAATGAAAGAGTATAATGATCTGTGGAATGCATTAATGCTGATTTATTAATAATATATGCTTAGGCTTCATGGCCTTCTTAAAGGCTATGTGCTCAGGTGATAAATTGCATGAAATGTGCAAATGTTACTTGGTTCTGGACACGGCAGGATTATCTGGGGTGTTCATGGGCTCAGGATTTGATATTTGATATCAGACGTCATTAATGAAACAGAGCTTTATTTTACAGAATTTCCAGGCTGCACTTCTGTTCCAGGCATTGTCGATCAAATGAAAACCAGTCCAGAAATGATCAATCTGAAAGCTTTGAACAGAAACTTGAGTTATCTTACTCACCATTTTGGAAGGAAAGAGAGCCTCCCTTCATTTTTGTTTATTTCTTGGCTTAATTTACTTACAATTCTATTGGAAAGAAGAACAAAAATAGTTTGTAAAAAAAAATCCCTTCAACCTTGTCACAGCAGCTAACTAATTTTCTTCACCATTATTCCTCAGTATTTGCTAAATTTAATCTGGTAACTCATTATTATTATTTACAGTGTGATAAAAACCACTTATTGCTAAGTTGTGCTACAGCACAGCCAACTACAAGCTAGACTGTTTTTACCTTGGTAAAACCCCATGTTGTTGGATGTGTTTAAAAATAAACATTAAACCCAGCAAGCCTTGGGATCTTTGGTGTTATAGACATCACACTGCTTCAAATAATGGCCATGGCATTTGTATGATTTTGCATGGAAAAAGCAAATAATACTTCAGAAAAACAGAGTTTATGGCTGCAAAAGCAGGGATTAAATGTTCCCTGAGAATCTTCTTTATTCTTCTTGTGTTCCTTCCTCTGCAGCCAAGCCATCCCTCCTCCAGAATCCCTCCAGCAGAGAGGAGGGAAAGGCTGATCTAATTCTATGTTTTAATATATTTTGGCCATGAAATACCAGAAGGTTGTAATTTTATGCCTGGAGAGGTCTTTCCTAGTGAAGGACAGTCAGTACTGAGATTCACAAGGTTAATTCTACTGAGAGACCAGAATTCTGTTCTGCTACTAATGAAGTTTGCCTCTTTGATTATTTTGTTTCAAAGAAAGCTTAGGATGAGCCATGATCTGATTCCAAATTGTCATTATTTCTTATTGAGGAACATCCAACAGAGAAAATCCTCTGGCAAACAAAGCAAATTGCTTACATACATCCAGTTAAAAATATCCCATTTTACTTGCAGCTTGTATTGTTTAGGTCTATCAGAGACAATAATTGTGGAAATATAAGTATTATGAAAAACATCAGGAACTTTACATATCTGTTTGTCTCAGATTCTAAATTCTGTAAAATCTTAATTGTTAACTTCTTCCCCACACAACTTAGACTGGCTCAATCAGAGTTGATATCAATGTTGTTAAATACTTGTTTATGGGTAGGCAATTATCACCCTATTGTCTTTTTCTTCTCCTTTCATGCGTTTCACTGCTACTCAGCAATAACAATCCCCTGTTTTTTTCCAAATGACCTAATTAGCGCATCTTTCACGTCTAACTGCACTTCTGAGCCGGGACTGGAGGAAGACAGGTTTTCAAGCCCTCTAAGAAAAACAAGCCAAGAAAATGAAGTCATTTTGGATCAAGGTAATAGTGCTTCCTGAAAAGGATGACGATGAGTGGTGTGAAGTTAAGGGTATGCACTCAAGGATCCAAGTATGAAAGGAGAAATACAGAGAAAGAATATTGTTTAGATTTTCTTGTTTAAGGCAGGATTTTACAGTTTTCTGGTTTGAAGCCAATATTATCATGCTTGCCCCATTTTGAAATAAGCACATGCACAAGTGTTAACAATTTCTGAAGGATTACAGCTGTCTAAATTTGACATTGTTACCCAAGCAAGTTGGATAAAGGAAGAGAAACGCCAAATTACAGGCACAGGAGAACTCTTGCTCTTCTTTTCCGTGGAACCAACGCTGTTCTGAGCAAGACATTTCCTTTTGCTGCAGGGGATAAGGAAGTTGCTGTGTGAATAATAAATTCCATGTGAGACATCAGGAAATGCCCTGGTGTGAGCAGTGCCCTGAACACATCAGTGCTTTGGTTGAAAAATGGGTTATGGAATTTGTCTGTGGCTTATTCCCTGGTGTAGACGAGGCAGAGGATCTTTCAGAATATCTTGGTGTTTTTTCAGCTAAAGAAGTAAAATGAAGTTCTCTGGTTTTGGAGCTAATAATTCTTAGAGTTCAGACTTTCCTGGGTGTGAATGAGACGTGAGTGTTTGGAAGCTTTCTGGACTAAACCTGGGCTGGCTGCTATGAAGATTTACACCAACAGGTTTTGAGGAGAAACTGACAGGAAGAAGTTGATCATATTATCTTGCTGCCAAAAATTAATCATATCATTCTTAAAATACAGTGTCTAATCTACTTTATTTGAAATGCTTCAAACCAATAGCTCAGAGGTTTTATTAGAAAAAAAGTAAATTTTAGGAAGGTCATGCATTACAAGCAATGTTCTCAGGGAAGAGAACTGAGCAGCTGAGCCTGTAACCATGTGAGGAAGGAAGTACAAAACCACACTGCTCTCTGAGCTGTGGGAGTGGATGATAGGAGAGGATAAGGCAACAGCACTTGCAGAAAATGTTACTCAGACTTCTCATTCTCTTTCTACCTCCTCCACCAGTTGCTAAACTTAAAACTAGCAGGAAGTTGAAATTTTTAAAAAACCCACACAACCAGCCCCCAAAGCAGGACTCCAAAACTGGCTTTTGTTCACTTAACTGCAGATACTGTTGACATGAGTAGAATCCACTCTACATGTATTGGGACAAAGGGCTTAAGATGGGTGAGAGGTGGAATAGAAGTTCCTCTAGGGCCAGGAGGCTGCAGAGGTGCCTACTGAGCACTGTCAAAAGCATAGCTGATGGTCCAAGTCTTTGGTTTGGCCTTTGAGAAGATTCTGCTGGGCAGATGCAATGTTGTTTTATTGACTTCAAACCAGACTGAATACCAGTTATGTTCCAAACCTTGCAACAACCTTTAGACCCCAGCTGAGAGCATGTGTGCACTGACATCTGCCCATTACCTTTTTAACAAAGAAAGAGCAGATTTCTCAGTTTTTATGTTTGCATTTTTCCTCTTCTGAAAGTAGAATGACTTCCAGACTGTGCCATGTTTGCAGGCTCTGGCTGTGTCACACTGAGCTGGCAGATGCCATGAGTGCAGTGATGAGCTTTCTGCTACTGGAAATTTCTGCCAATGCCATGGGGTACGCTTTGGAGTGCTGTGGGATATACCTTAAGATTTTTCCACAAGGCTGGAAATTTCAAATCTCAGATTTGCCATGAACCTGCCACTGGAATAGCCAGAAGGATCAACAGTGTCCTGAAAACTTGGAACTCTTCTCTCAAGATAGCAAATAGGAGTGACAGACTAATTCCAGTGTTTGTACCATGGTTCAGGTATCATGTATCAGGTGTCAACCAACCATTAGCATTATTTTTAATTAAAACTTTGCTTTTTCTATTTATGAATTCTGACCACAGTAAATAAGGCACATTCTATTTGTTGAAAGTGCTTTAAAATATTTTGCAAGACTCAAATTTGTTCTCTCCAAGTATTAAACTTCATGACCTTCTCTGACTGGCAGTAGTGCTAATGAACAATAGGAAAACTGTTTTTTCTCTTAAGCTGCAAATTGGCCTCTTGCTTCATTAGATTTTTTATCAAAATGTTAGTAACACCCTCATGATTAGGTGTGAGTTTCATTTAGCACTTACGACTGATGGTCAGTGTCTGCTCTGTGTAAAATACACCAAATCCCTTCCCAGTCTCACCATTGTATCTCCTTCAGGACACAGTGTGTTGTTTGTGAGGATTCAAGTGTGTATCTAAACATAGTAGTATTAATATCAACTTTTTTAGCAAAGTTTTCCAGAAAGAGTTCAGCCCTTTCAGTGGAAAGTGCTAAAGATTTTAAGAAGTATTTTAATTTTCAAAATAGCACTTAAATCTGGGGGCTTTTTTTGTTTTTTATAAAGCAGCCAAAAGTTTTATGAAGATATGCACCTGTAACAGGGCTGGTGGAGATTAGTTTTCAAAATAATAGTTCATTAGTAATAAGAGAATGTTGTAGAGTTTTATAATTAGATTCAGGAAATGACCTGTCATACCTTGTAATGATAACTGTGACCTACTTTTGACTCTTGAAAAGTCACAGGATCATCCCCAAATAATGACAAGAGTTCTATTCAAAACCAGAGCAGTGGGTTTGCACAGAGATGCACATTTACAAACCCACACACCCAGGCCAGGACACCTGTACAGATCCAGGCTGTGCTTTGTGCTTTGCAAACCTTGTGTGATTCCAGGTGCTGGCTCCATGTAGGTCAGAATATTCCTAATAATACATTTAGAATATTCCTAGCTAATTTACTGAGGAACAATCTCTCTTGTCAATTTATCTTTTATTTATTTCAGCACTGGCCAAAGCTGTTATTAGGCTTTTTGCAGAATATGCTCAGTTTTAGCACTGCTATTAGGTATAAGGTAGTGTAACTAAAATATGCTAATGCCTCTTTCAGCTTGCAGAAGAACTCTTGCTACAACCAGTTGGGGTTTGCATTATGATAAAAAAGAAGAGTGTGAGTGAATGTGTTCTAGCAGAAGTCACCAGCCAGCACTTTGTGTTTTGATGAGGATGTGGAGATTCTGAAGAAATTAATGTTTTTAAAAATGGCAGATTCTTCTGTCCATTAATTCTATCCAGGAGGGTTGTTTGGGGTTAAGGGGAGTTTTGGTTTATTGTTGTTGTTGGGTATTTTTTTTTGGCTGGTTGGTTGTTTTTAGTGAGAACCAGTTCTCTTCCCTATTAAAGCTCTAAACTCTTATTTTAAACAATGGCATTACATGGAGGACCTTTCTGCATGTATAATCACCATATTCCACTGAATATTTTGCTTTTTTGTAAATTTGGAAAAGTCTGAGAACAGAGGCCTTAGTTCCAGAGCTTTCCTTCAGATTTAAATATCTACTTATTTATTCAGTTCCTCAAGCTGTGCACCAAGCTTCACTCTTCTTTTCAAGCTCTTGATTTCAAATTCTCTTCTTGCTGAGAAATCAAAAAGATCTGAGTGAAAAGGCTGTTCAGTTTCTGCTGGCGTGTAACAAGTGAGGAACCCAAAGACCTGTCTAAAAATGGCTGTTTGCTTTTTCTAGGGTGTGAAAATCAAATTTTGAGGCATCAATAGGTTTGATGAGGAAATAGGAGCAAGTCCATATGGTTAGATTTCATTTTAATGATTCACCTATGGAATTAATATCTCTGATATGCCTGAGTTTATCAGACCATCCACTGACTACTTTTCTCTCACAAATTTGAAAGGAAATTACCAGAATCACCAGAAGTTTTTAAAATTAAAAGCTCAGACAATGAGAACAAGAGGTAATTCTGCCAAAGGACTGCTAAGGTGGGACAAATTACCAGAGAATTCCAAGTTCTCCAGTATGGTAAGATGAGTCTGTCACAGTCTAGTCTATCATCAACATTGTTAAATGTTTCTTTTAATTGAAAGTGAGTTCAGAAATTCTGAGACATCAGAGCATCTTTTTAAAATAATATCTGGACCTCCTTACTAACATATTATACACCAACAGTCTCTATTGTCAGGATATTTATTGTACGAAAATATAGATGTGATTTTAAGAAATATGTCACATCCAGGGCTTTCAAATTCAGTCCTTCATATATGATCTGAACAAGGGTCCTGCTGGGCTCAGCTCTTCCCACCAGCTCACCCATGAGCACAAAAACACCTTCCACAAGCTCTGATGTACCAGAAAAGGCAAAGCAAATTGTATCTTGTGTAGCAAAATCAAGATATGTGTGAAAGGAGAGAGTCTGGAGCTGGGAAATGAACAACACAGCCATGCTGGAACAGCTTGAATTCATTTTTTTTCTCCCTCCTTTGTTTGGAAGACCATGAAGAGCTCCATGTGTCTCATGGTTAGAAACCTTCTAACCTCCAGCTTGAATATATAGCAGAGAACTCAGAATTAAGTCCTTCATTTTCCACCATTAAATACTAAAAGAAGCCAATTTTTCTTACTCAGTATTGACTCAATGGGATTATTGTTCTTCATTAAGTAACTTCTATGAAATTATGGAAGCTATTCAGATGAACTGGAAACTTTTTCAAGGCCTAATCCACAGGAGCTGAGGAAAGCTATTGAACATTGAATCACATGGCCCAGACTGATTTCTCTTGAATGCCCACCTAAAGCAAAAGCATATGAAAATAATTTCAAATCCTCACCTGTTGTGGACATAACTGACTTTTTTCTTTTTTCCTTTTAGTTAAAGTCAACAGTTAAGCAGTGAACAGTTAAGTCAGGCTTCAAAGGTAATACTTGCAAGAAAGTTTAACCTTTGTGTAGCTGCTGTCAGTCAAAGAATTTGTGCAGGAGTTCTTTTGAACATCCCCCAGACAATCTTTTTGTATTGTATCATTTTGCTTGAGCAGTCATGACAACACTCATTTTATCTTGGAATATTCTTCTTTTTCTCACAGTATGCTCCAATACACAAATCTCTTGCCAATCATTCACAAATCAGTTGCCAGATATTTCCTATGAGACTTCATTGCAAAACAGCAAAAATAAGTTTTAAGATTAAGATAGTTTGACTTTACTTACGGCACTCTGAGCTTTGGAAATTTCTGGATATCATTTTCAGACATGTTCTGGAATGGAAACACATGGGATATGTGATAAAATTGTCCATGGAACACCCTGTGACTTATCCAAGTAAGTCATACACATATATTCAAAAATGTGGCATGAATTAATGTGGTATTTACATAACTTCAGAAACCAGGTATATTGAATTCCTTCGTGTCTGCACAGTGAAATTAGGCAATATTGTGCATGATTGCAAAATTTCAAAGTGGAACTGTAGATTTTAAAATACAGAACCTTTGGCTGGAGTTTTGTTCTAAGAACTTTATTTGTAACAGAAAGAAAAACAAGAAATCCCATGTTCTAGGGGACACATAGCTAGAAAACCCCTTGGACTTAAAAGCAGCCTTGGCAGCCTAAGAAGATCTTTCTAGAAACTGGGATGGGGGAAGGATGTTTATTCCCTCCTCAGCCATAACACAGCCCCTGGGCTGTCTGGAAAACTTTCCTGATGCTCCTGCAGAGTCATCCCTTCTCTTCCTCCAGCATGTGCAAATCCAAAGTTAGGACAGATTCAGGAATTCTGAAGATTTTGGATTTCACTGGTTTAGTGTTTTGTTTAGTTAATCACAAATTAACTATGGAACAAATTCTCTTTGGAACAGGGATGATAGTCTGGTTCTTTTTGTCTCTTTTAGTGGTAACTTTAATAGGTTTCTAATTACACATTGGTTCACAAAGCTGTCAGTGTCAATGTTCAGGACAGAACAAATCATATCTGTGTTTTTCCACACTATTTTGCCTCTGGGAGGAGTAAAACACAGGAAAAACATACTGCTTTTATGGAAATGTCCTGCAGTACTTCCTGAAGAATTGTATTTTTTCTAAAGGCTTTTTAAGCTTCTCTCCAGAGTTCTGTTCAGTTCTGATGATAAACCTGACAAATATTAGAGGTATAAACTCTTTTACAAGGGCTACATTTCTGTTTTAAATAACGGAGAATTTTATTAGACTAAGTTACATGAAACTCCTTTGGTTTTATTCCTACTGCATCTCGATAGGACTTTCCTTGTGGTAGCCAGTAGACACAGAAAGGTGACTCTGAAATTAGGATGTTATTCTGATTAATTTTAGAGCCAGATTTATCATGTAGATCTGACAACAGCTACAAACCCAGCAAACACTCAGCCTGAGCAGCTGCTTCTGTCAAATATAATTTGGCATTTTCCAGTCACTCACAAAATGTAAAAAGATGTTTCTTAGGAAAACCATTCATAGAGAGAAGCAATTTTTTTTTCCAGATTGCTTTGTACTCTGGAATATTTTACTGGACATCTTCTGTGGTTCTGTTTAACAAATGAACCTTTTCCCTTTTTTTCATTATAAAATGAAAAATTTCATTATTGCCAAGTAATTCAAAAGCTTAAAAAGATACTGAGCAGAGGTGAGCAGCTGCTTGGCTTGCTCAATAGAAAACATCCTTCAAATCTGCTGGGATGCCTCTGAGGAGCTGCTGCACTCTGAGCTAATTACAGAAACACTAGAAAAAATAGAAAAACACAAAAATCACTTAGAAATCACACAGTTATTGCACTTTCTATTTACACCTCACAAACTACCAGAATGTCATTATGCTTCCAGAGCCAGAGCTCCCACTCCAGCCACAGATCCTCAGTGCTTGAGCTGAGGAGGATCTCTTGGGGGCTGGTGGGATAAATCCCATGACACATCTGAATAATGCTGACTGCACCCTCCAGCAGGAGGGAGGGGTCAAATCCTCTTCCTACAACAGCAGCTTGAAAATTTTTATGTTTCAATGAATTTTTTTTTTGTTTCAATGAAATGTCAAAAAAACTGAATATTAGGAGAAATAAATGAAAAATACAAAACTTCAGAAGTATGGAGAGATCTCCCCACAATCACTAATTAAACAGAAGACAAAAATTACTGCTTCTGGGAAAATAGAACAGCTAATATTTGAAAATCAAAGTAAAAAGTAATACTAAAGTCTCTTACACATCTTCATGGACATATATTTAAGACCTGGAAACAGCTGCTATGTTGGTGGAAGCAATCAGCTTTTTTCTAAAATTAAGCCAATCCTGGAACAATGTTGATTTAAAGCCACTAGGACTTTGCTTACTAGTTTTGATGCTCTTAAATTTTATTGGTTTTGTGTATTGCAACAGAGGAAATCTAATTTTATCTATAGAGGAATGAAGGAGTTATTCCAATGAAAGGCCAGTCATTCTGAGCAGGGCTGTGTCTTCTTTAGTATGAGAGGATAATTAATAAATGTGGGGTTTCTGTTGTTAATATTTGAAAACAAGAACTTCCTGTAAAGGAAGATATTAATTCAAGACAATATTATTGGCTTAGAACTTCCAGTTTAAAATATATTAATATTGAACAACATGCTTGGGCTCCCAGCATTCCATATGGAAAGCAAGTTGTCTGCCTGATTTTAGCAAAAGCATTTACCTCCCATATTTATACGTCAGTAACCACCTGGAAGGCAGCTCTTCATCTGCCAGTTCAAAACAAAAAGTCAAAAACATCTCTTGATTAGAATTTTACAGGAAGGAATTTTACAACTCCACTTACCAAAAATCTTTGTCCATTTATGCTGTGCTTCCTCACGACTTTCTCACAGTCTTTATACTTTAGCTGTCAATGAGAAGATGATTATTGCACCCTTAATTAAAGTAATTAATAAAGATACTTAAACATATGGCTGGCTTTGAGGAGGTGCTTTCAAGATACCTTTTTGTATGCTATGGCCTGCCTAAATGGCTCATTTTGTCCCATAAACATAGATTTTTATGACAAACATTTTTCAGTGGACTTAAAGGTTTTCATCCACTTATGAACACATTATTCCTCACATTTACAAACCACCTCACAGTTGCTTGGCCCAAAGAAATATTTGAAAAATTTTATTACTGTGGTACTGACTGGGATGAGCAGCTGCAGAAGTAAAGCAAAAACCCTGTTATCCAGGAATACTAAAGCTGACTGATCCCAGACACAGAATTCATTGTTGTGATCCAAAAGTTTTCACTTCTGGATGGAAATCTCACTTGTTAATCCTGGAAATGATCTATAATGTTTGTAAAGCTTTCCCACAGTATTATGTTTTCCAGTAGCATTTAGGACAAAGATATGCTCCTCAGAAGCTGCTCATGTACAGCTTGACCACAAAGCAAGACATGGCTTTTAAACATTTTCAACAGTTGTACTAAGTTTTTTATTTTCTTCTTTTTTAAATTTGAACAGTAATAGCATAATGTAAGAACATCATTTAGATTTTTTGATCTGGCGTTTTTCCCTTTCAAGTTGATCAGGTCCAAATCAGAAGGAACCCAAAGATCAGGCACACAAAGTGACTTTTGGAGGCTTTGAGACAAAAGAATGACTCTTATTCTGTCTGAAACTTTAGTCAGTGAAAGTTATGCAGACAAATTAACCTGGGATAGCTCCCCTAAAGCAGAGGAGCTCTTACAAGGGAGCTTTGTGCCCCTGTAGTTCTGTCCCTATTTTCATTTTAAGGTGTAACATTGTAACTTGGTGAATGTGAGAATGGATCCTGGAACAGCAAAACGGATATTTTTATGAGCCACCTTCAGTTATTCATATGATGAAACAGACCTAACTCTGGTAAATATTTTAGGATACAGATTAAAACTGTTGTGCAGACTGAGAACTTAAACCTGTAAATAATTTCTTTCATACAGTGAGTGCTATCGTGATGTTACCAGCACAAGTCTGTATGCAGAGGGAAGCAACACATCACTGTGATTGAGACCTAACCTCAGTCTTGAAGTAATTGATTAAAAAAAGCTGTTTATCTATTAAAAATATTATCCCAATATGGAATATCCCAAATATGAACATCTTTGCTTTTTCTAAACAAACAAAAATAATTGGAAATGATTTGAAAATTTGGTTCTTCATTGCTTCATTCATTCTCTGAGTTTCTCTGGGGATAAGATCTGCTCACTTGTGACAGGTGCCCAGAGCTGGCTGACTTGGGCTGACATTCTTGTCTTAGCCAGATTTTTTAGATCACTTAAACAACTTCTGCCCTAATTTAGCTCTCCAAGAGTGGGATGCCATTATCTCTGTTCTGGAGAGTGTCTTGATCACTAGAAGGGAGGCACTACAGATAAATGTGCATTCAGTTATGGCAGAATTTACAATTGATCCTCTTACCACAGTTCAGAATATTATTATCAGATCTTTCAGAAAGCCGTTTTTCCTTTCCTAATTTCTTGGAAATGGTGGTCCAACTTCCCCCTGCACTGTTGCTCTAATGTTTTTCGTATTTGTCTGAAGTTACCTGTTGATAATGATCTCATCTGTTCCATCTCCAGTTTTTGGTTTCACTTTCCTGTACCACTAACTACTGCACCCTAAAATTAGGGGCTTGTAAGTAGATGGGAGTTTCACTTCTCTGGAGGTTTGGTAGACACAACCTCTATGTTTCATCTGCTCATCTTTATTAAGTAGTTCTGCATTCTACCATCAAACTGGCCTCAACTCCCCAGACAAGACTGAGTAATAGGAGCCATTGAAAAAAATAAACTTCACATTATTTCAAAACTAATCCCAAGGTGTTGCAAGTTTTACAGGTGTAGCCACGGATGTGATTAACAGAGACATTCAGAGGCTCATTTGTTACACTGAGCAATTTGGGAAAAAAAACATCACTTCTGAAAATCATTGAAGATGAAACAGAAAATTTGTAATCTTCACACCTGAGTGCCTTCCACAGCTGTTAATGTGTGTTACACCACCAGTACTGTAGTAATGTGTTTATTTTCTCTAAGCCATGAGTTTCTCTATACCCAATACAAAAATCCCTTTCAAGATTCATTTTCGCTGACCACTTGAGCTCAGCTTCTCATTTGACAGCGGTTTTGCTTTTAGTTCTGCAGCGAGCTTTGCCCAGTATAAAATATCTGAATCCAGCCCAACCAATGTTACAGCAGTTCATTCCTCCTTCAGAAGAAGATAAAACATGGCCAAACTCACCGTCCTGAAATATTCTGCCAAGTCATCTGGGTCCCAGGTGAGCACGTCGGAGCGGTAGGGGACATTCCGCAGGTCCATGGTTGGTTTTCTCCCCGAGGCAGTCAGGGAGTGCTCATAGCCTTTCTGCCATGGATTCCCTCTCTCCAAGGAATTCCTTGCCCAACCTCCAGCTGCTTCTGTCAAGGAACTGTTCTGGTCAATTGAAATTATGTTGTGAGTTCGTTTCAGAGCGACACTGCTTCCTCTTGTACAAAATGGTCTCTTCTCAGAAAAGTTTCAGCTAGTCAGCCTTACCACTTCCTTTCTCTGAATATAAATAAGTAAACAAGGAAGCACAGCAGAGGGTTGAAAATGCTCTGCCTGCTATATAGAAGTGCCTATGGACCCTAATTGCTTGTAGTAGCACACATAAATATTTATGTATTTACTCACATTATACATGTATAAAAATATTGTCTTCTTATCTGAACACGTGTGGGTTACTCTTCTGTGCAAGTCTAGCCCAGGTAAGCCCCCTCAAAGAAGAAAACATCTACTTAAGAGAAACTTCCTTAATTTATCTCAGGACCTGAAATATCCTTCTTTGTACAATTAAAGGTTATTGTCAGAGCTGTACATATTGAAGAACTAATGAAGTAACAATGGAATTACAGTCAGTATCCCTTCAAATAAGGAATCACTGAGTGAAACTAAAAAATGTACAAGTTTAGATGAAAAATTATTATGTTGCCATCGTATCAATAGTTCATTTTTTGGCTACTTCTTCCAAGGATTTTTGTATCTGAAAAAAAATCCACAAAACCATATTATTACCACAGGGACATGATAGACTTTCATCTGTCCTGCATAACCAATTTAGCACCCTCCTATCAGCAGGTCCCTTAACTGAGATTACATTGAGTAATTCCAAGTATGTCTGTTTTTTAAAAACAACCAGCGTGTCCATTCTCCCTTTTCTTGTTGTGGCACCTCCTCCCAAAGCTGTGTTGCTATGAATCCTTGGGCTCACTCCTCCATTAGACTGCACAAAAGGTGGTAATTTCTGAGCTTTCTGGACTAGTAAGAATAGGTGCATAGTTCTGAAGCACTGGGAAGGAAAAGTTCCTCTTCTTTTTATGGAGAAATGCATCCCTCTTGTCTCCAGTCACTGACGACCTCGTAACCTTGTGTCTGCAATCTGCAGGTGTGCTGCATGTGAGTGCATGTATTTGAGATCAAACCTAGAGGTCTTCACAGGAAGAGCTTTCCTTTTGAAATTCAGAGTCTGATTTAGAGTAGCTTACTTTTTTCTGGAGAAATTCTGGTAAATGATGGCAGCATGGTATTTAAAACTCTGAAATGAAACGGCTGCCACAGCTGTTCTAAGCAGAGCACCATTTATCAAGTACATGCTACAGCTGTGTTTTCTGGATTCTTGCTTGAAATTACCTGTGTGAATCATCTTAGGCATGTCCTGACAGTATCACAGAAATATTATGCCCTCTAGGTCTGGGGATGAAATAGGACCAAATGAACTGGTGACAGAGAATCCCCAAAGGAAAACTTGCTTTGCTGGTGCATTGTCAGCAGTGGTAAAGGGGAGGTTACATAACTACACCTCAAACATCCCATCACACCCCCTGGATTTCACAGGGAAACAAGCAGGGAGACAGGAAGAAGGCTGTGTTAATTTTCTAATTGCTTTTATTGAAGATGTGTTTCATTACCTTCTAATCTGGTTTCTATCCCAAACCCAGTGTAGCAGATCTAATTGCAATTGTGTGACTCCTTATTTGTACTAATATGAAACTAATTAGTCTGGTCAAATTTTATGCTGGTGGTGTTACAGGAGAATTACAGTACCATTTGTTCTGATGCTGAGAAAGGAGGAAATCAGTTACCTCTAAAACTGATCTCCCGGTCTCAAGAGCAGCTAACACAGGAATTCTAACACATGTATCTATCTATTATTATTTGCTTGCATCCTGCCCATGGCACTGAGTACATCATAGCTACGTGCAGATTTCATGCATTTCTTGCAAAACCCAGCTGCACACAAACTTGAGGTCTGTCTTTCTCTACAACTTCTGTAATATCACAAACACATCGGATGTGGTGCCCCAGTGAGGCTTGCTGAGGAAACACCACTTCGTATTTTCTATATTTGAATTTTCAGATATAGTCCTACAGCAGCTGGCAATCACATAAAATGGATTTTAAGCTCTTGGATTTTCAAAAGCTGAGAAACACTGACTTTACTGCTATTATCAGATGCATATCTTCTTATTGATACTTTTTTCCCCTCTTTTTAAAGAACTTAAAGATGTTTCATAGGTATTTTATAGCCTGCAGTGACACAACCTTCACCCAAAAAAAAGTGTCTCCTCAGTAACAGCTGCTAGTGGTAAATTCTTTCTGCTGCAATGATGATCTGGTGATTGATGTTTGAAAATGTGAGACTCAAACCATTTTAGGCAATACAGGGAGGAAATTCACACTGCCTTCAAAGAGCAGCAACGTTTTCCATTTTCTCCCACCTCTCTCTGTGGTCTTCTGTCCCTGCTTTAAGTGGAGTCAAGAGCTTACTTTGAACCACTTTCAGAAGGGTTTATTTTTCTAGAGTAGCTCAAGTTACATGTCCATATCCATAGAGCCAAACAAAAAAAAAAAAGTTCAAACCTTTTTTAATGTAAGAATTTCATCTTCATGTTCAGCTCACTCACAAAGTGAAGTGGATCCTTATGGAGTGGTTTTCTTTTCTCCTGCCCAAATTTGTTTTTAAAAGACTGGGGTAGGTTATTCCTTTTACCCTGGAAATTTTTATCCTAGACAGCCTGTAGTTCCATTTTTAACATGACATGCCCAATTCCCAGGCTGTATTACCTACCCATAACTGTGAGAGACTGAAATGTCAGTGTTAATTTGGTGCTTTGCTGAGGCCAGACCAAAGGGAGGGAGAGGTTTTGGATGTGTGCTGGACAAACCTCTGATCATAAGAACAGTCCTGGTGCCGTGGAGGTTCAAATTTGTTCTGAAATTTCAGATATTTTCATCACCCACCTCAGGAGGATGAGCACAACAAAGTGACCTTTGCTTAGCAACAAGCTGGGTTCAGAGCCAGATAAGGGAGATAAGGCAAGCAGACCCTGTGAGGTAGGGTATAAATAATGCTGTTTTTACCATGTCAGTGTCCTCCCTTCCACACCTGGCTCAGGTGTAAAACTCCCCCCTGGAGAAATTATCAGGAAATTCATATTCACACCTAGATCAATTTGAAAAAGAAATTTGCAGGAATGGAACTTCGAGGCTTTTTCCCCACCCAGCCCCACAGTGGTGACTGTCAGGTGCAAGAGCAGGGATGGATGGACCCTGAATATGACACTTTAATGGGAACAGCACCTGAGGTAAATGCTAACCAACCTACCTGCCTCTGGAATGTATGGCTTGAATAAAACTGAGACACTGGCTTCAAATCCAATTTCACACAAAGCACACACACACACAAAAAAAAAGTGTTCTCTATAGGAACTCAACCCTCAGCAAAGATTTTCCTGGATGGAAAAAAAAATACGTCAATTGTGTTACAGTGAGCAGGTGTCAAGATGGAGTTTAGGCGATTTCAAAAGGCCTGAAATCCTAAAATACAGCCACTGTAGAGAGGTGCCTCTGCCCAGGGAGGCAAAGATTTAGTTTCAGATAAGCATTGTTAAAGTGAGAAGCATGGCTTTAAAGCCCAGGAAGAGTAAATTCCACCTTCTTCCTCAGGGAGTGTGCCCTGTGAGCCTGGGAAGAGTTGTCCCACCCCAGACCCTCGTGGGGTATCAGCCCAGGGTGTTCTGAGTGCTTTGTGCCCCTGGGGTTTCTTCTTTCCTGTGTTCCTATTTGTCCCCGACCTTAAACTCCACCCCAACTCTGCCCCACAAAACCCACCACCCTGCCTCTGTTCTGCATTCTGTCTCTTGAGTTTAAGCTGAGTTTGTACCTGTGTTGAATAATTGGTTTCTGGAGATTTACCAAGCAGAGACCCGTCCCGTTGAGTCCCATGTTGGTCACCAGAATCCAGAACCTCCCTGGACTTGATCCTGCAGCTGCAGAATGCAGCACTGTAGAGTGCAGCTGGACTCTAGCCAGAAGACCAAAGAGAATCAAGTATCTACTAAAGTCCTGTAAAAAATAAGGCAAGTACTTAGAGATATTCTAGCAAGAGAAGTTTGCTTGGTTTACATGTTTTATTCCACTCTGTTTGGGTCATAAGTGACATAATGTGTCTGGTTAGTCCAGAAATGCTGCAAATAAATGCAGAGAGCACTTAGGAGACCTCTACTGAGGAAAGACTGAAAAAAATGCTTGCTAAGTCTGAGAAAGGGAAGTTGGAGATGAGGGAAGGAAAAAAGGAGATAAACTTTGTGATTTTGGATGATAGCAGTCAGTTTTTCTCACAATGTGAAGGACTCTGCTACCAAGAAAAGCTGCTGCAGGTTTGAGAGGGAGTAAATGGGGACAGAAGAACTCTCCTCCAGTATTTGGGCTGCTCAGGGCAGCTCAGCAGATCAGTTCAGGAGCTGCTAAACAGGATCAGCTGTACTGTGACAGAAAAGGGGCAAAAAGAACACCTGGGAATGATGTTCTGTTTTGGACACGACCCTTCTGTACTAACAGTGCCTTCCAGGTACAGAACTCTGCCAGTGAACACACCAGTTTTGTACTTGAGGTCACCAGTTTGACAGAGACATTGGAGCTTAAGGTAAAGATGAAGCAAGTTAAAAATACCCTTTAGTCTGGGCTAACTGCTCAAACCCTTTCCACCTGTGCTGTCAAAAAGCACAGATTTCCTCCCCCAGCTCCAGGCCAGCACCCTGCCCAGGGGAGCTGCCAAGACCTTGGCTCTGCAAGGTTCCAGTTATCCCCAAGGCTTTTTTCCACCTGCCCAGCTCCCTTTTGCCTTAACAGTTCCTGCTCTGGCTCCCACCCAATCCCTGTCCCCTCTGCACCACTGCAGGACTGGGCTGTGCTGGGAACCCTCCCAGCTCGACTGGAAACCAGAGGCTGTGGGAGCTGCTGTCCCTGGATGGAGCTGGAGCCTGAGGAATTCCCATTCAGTGCTTCCATAACAGGCTCTCCATTTGCTTTGCCTTCTTTTGGGTTTTGGTATGGTGTGGTTTGGGGTTTTTGGTACAAGTTTATTAAAAAATCCAAAATTAATCTCTTTCAGCAATGATGCCAGAACAAAAGTTATGGTTTTTTGGTTTTTTTTTTTCATTTAAGCTTTTTAAACAGCAGTATTTCAAGTCTATCCAACTATTCTGACAGCTAAAGATATGATTTTATTTTTTTTTAACTCAACCCATTTTTCTATTTTAATCAAATGAACTGTTGACACCCATAAAGTTTGTTGGCTCTGACTTTCTAAGTGATCTCCTTTTATTCAGTCAGGCAATGTTTGCTAACCTAAACAATGCTACTTTGTAACTTTAATTCTATAGAAACTTGCAGAGTTTATACTGTAAACTGGTTGCCAACATGGGAGTTGAGTTGTTGAAGTTGAAATGTTCCTGCCCATACACAAAGTCAGAATTGGATTCTGATCCTAATATATTTCCAATTCTCTAAATATTTCAACAGCTTGCTGACCAGTGAGAAAAGCACTTGTGATTTTGCAATGCTGTGAAAAATAAAAAACTTCTACAACTTTTCCACTAACATATATTCATTTCAGACCTTCTCAGGAAAAGATTTTGTCAATCCTGAAAGTTTTCAAGAGTGAATTTCACAGACCAGAAAACACACAGGTGACTTGAAGAAAAATGCTGCTAGCCACCATCATCTTGTGTATAGTTTTGTTTTTAATGTCAGTTTTGTTTTCAATCTTTATGTTCCTCTCTATGACCGCCTTAGAGTTTCCAAGGAGCTGAATTGTTGAACACCCCTTGCTTTTCAACTTTTCATTGTTATCTTCAAAATATAGTGTATTCATAAGAGGCATTTTTTTTTCATAATAAAGAAGAATTTTGCATATATTTTAAGTTGTACACATGTATTGTACTATGAGTGGACTTAAGACAATTCCTTTTGTCCCCTGGCTCATTATGAAGGAGAGCCAGCACAGGTCAAAAGTCCATTGGAGCAGTCCTGATCTGTCAGGGCTTTTCTCTGAGATGTGGATTAAATTAACAGCAGAGTAGGATCTCACCTCGATTGTACTTTCCATTCACATAAGAGAATACCTGCAGCTGCTGTTTTTCAGAAAAATGTCAGAGGATTAAAATGGATAAAAAATATATTAATATTTTTCACTTTTATCTCCATCCAACAAATAAAATTTGAGATTGTGTAGGAGAGAAAATTCAGTCTCATTTTGCCATCTAGTGGCAACACTTTGCCTTCCTGAGATGCATTTCAGAAAATGTTAGCTGGAGGTGGGTATGAGTTACTAATTCTTTGGAAAAATCAGTCATTTTTCTACTTAAAATATTAAGAAGCCTAGTTACATTTTATAGCAGCACTGCACAAATAGGCACATTGCTAAAGTGCATTTCCATTTGCAGGTACTTGGGTGAGCAGAACATATTTCATTAATCCAGTGTTTTATCATGTCTTTATGGATCTGGCTTACTAGTGACTTTTTTACCTTGGATATGAATCATTAACTTCCCTTTCTACTTGCTCTTGGATTTTTACCAAGACAATGGTACAGCCAAGCAGTTTAGAAATATAAAGGACAGCTCAAGGCAGACTGGCTGGACAAGTTATTTCTTCCTTCCTAAGCAGAAAACCCAAAACTTTTTAACTTTTTTTTTTTTTAATCATTATAATTTTGTATTAAATTTCTATTTCTTTGCTATAATTTTTTGTGTGTGTCTGTATTTCAAGGTTTTTAGTAATATTTCTTTTTCCTCTTCCCACAGTTTGGTGAGATACTGGTCATTATCTGGACCTGCAAGATCATATGCTTTTGGGACCTTAGGGAGTGAGTATAGCCTGGCAAGTGACAATGCTGTGGAGGGTTTGGAATTATTCTTTGGGGTCTGGACCAGGGGGGCTGCATTCCTCTGTGCCAGAAGTGCTGGGCTGCCACAGCAGGAGTAACCTGAGTTCTTGTTAATAGATCCATTGGGGAGCATTAGAGGTGAAATGATACTGAATGAGCAGTGTTTGTAAATAAAAATATGTAGGGTCTATTTCAGAACCATTTAGAAGCAGTGGAAAGCAGAGATGTAGCCATTCCAGTTATTATCTATAGTAATGCAACAATATAAAAGCATAGGAATAACAGGTAAGAAAATGTATTAGAAAGAAAGAAGAGGGAAGGGTAAGAGTAGAAAGATCTCACCACCCGTGGATGCAGTAACTAGACTTGACTGAAGAGACTTGATTATTCCAATTTTGAAGTCTGGTGGTCTGAGTGATAGTCACAATCTTGGTCCATCAGGGGTGGGGGAAAGCCCAGGAAACACCAGTGTCAGTGGGTTAATACACATTTAGATTTAGACACAACATGTGGCTACCTCCCCTGGGGAGGGGAATTTTGCGCTGTCTGAAGGGTCTTTGATGCTTTATGACCCCTTTAAATCATGACCCTGCCTCTCTCTTGAGCAAAGTTGAGCCAGTTATTCTCCAACAGAAGGGATAAAAGCCCTCAGTCCCAAGTGGGTGAATGTCCCATGTGAATGTCACCCTTCTTTGGGGCAGGGGGAGGACACTGGCATGAAAACAAGCACCATGGTCTGTCTGGCCTTCTCCCTCATCTGGCTCAAACCCCAGAGCCTCTGGTGGTGGGTGTGCACCCCCTCTGTCCCTTGCAGATCAGGTTTTGAGCCACCAGAAGAACCAAATACATTGGTTTAATCTACAGGATGGCATGAAGACAAGCCAAAGGTTAAAACCAAGCAAAAGAACATATAAACTCAAAGGAAAGTGTGAATATGTAGAAACTTTTATGAATATGCATGTACCCCTGAAATGTAATAGTATATAAAAATATGTTGTTTAAGCTAAGGGTGTGCTTCTGGCAGATAGCCATTGTCAGGAAAATTAATCCACAAACACCAGAGGTTTATGCCCAAAAAGGAAACAGAGGAGTCCTTTTACTTTATTCGAATAAAGGGAGAGGCCCCTGGGGTCTCTCAAATTTTTGGAGGATGAAGCCTCCTTTTTATCCCAATTTCCCGGTCGCATTTCCCTCTTTCCCCGTTGGATGAGGTACTTGAGAGGTCCAGACTCCCCAGAATGCCTGATACCTGAGATTCCACTCTAATGTATAACCCCTTCCCTTTAATTTTTAATTCTTATGGAATTTACGCTTTTTTCCCCATTGTTTCTTTCATCTTTCAATATCCAATTTCATTTATCGGCAATCCTACAGTCTGTTTATAAAGGTAAGTATTTTTTTTTCCATTTTCCCATTGTTTATCTCTCAGTGCTAGTTTCATCTACCAGCAGACCCACGGCTTGTTTGTAAAGACAAACCCATCATTCGTCTCACCAAGCACCCCAGCGCCGCATTTTATCCCTTATTAAAACTTTAAAATTGTAAAGAGTGGGCTTTGTTTTCCGCAGTCCGGGGTGGAGCGGGGCGGGGGGCGGAGCTGCCTTTTCCCCTGGCCGGCCCGAGGGAAGGGCAGAGATCTCCGGAGCGGCGCCCATGGAGCGGCAGGTGAGCGCTGTGGGGGCAGCCCCGGGCGGAGAAGCGGAGCCCTGGAGCCGTGCTCACCTCAGGGAGGCCTTTCCCGTGGGGACCGGAGCAGCCACGGCCCGGGCTGGGAGCACAGGCAGGGCTGGCCGCTCCGCCGGGCTCCCCGGGGCCGGGGGTGCGCGGAACCCCCGCTGGCAGCACCGGGGGCTGCGCTGAGAGCCGGCTCCTGCCTCTCCACACAGCCCAGGCACCCCTCGGGCCGCTTCCCTGGGCTGGGACCCATCGCGGGAGCCACGGGGCCGGGCCACGAGGCTCTGAGGAGGGAATGGGGCTGGTCTTCTATCCCGCTTTGTGCTTCCCGCTCTCATCACAAGTTGGTTTTTAGTCTTCGTGAAAGATGAAACTCCTTGGAGGTGGAGATGCCATCTGTTGGCATTCACTATCAGCTGGAGAACTTTTTACCTCGGTCCTTTCCCGTTGAGGTATCTGATAAGAACCATTGGCTAGCTCCTAATGCTGATGAGGACGGTCCTAATGGATCTTTCAATTGGTACAAATCACTTGTTACCGAGTTTCTTTCGTTTGCTAGGACTCCAGCATCCATACATAGTGCTCCCAATTCTGTCCCCAGCACAGCTCCTCCTCTCCCCATGATGGTTTTGGAGGGATCAGGGTCTGGCTGTGCAGCCCTGCCCACCACCGTGCACAGGGACTAGACACAAGTGGCAGCTTTCATTGCAGAGATACTGACCTGCATAGTTAACTCCACTGCTTTGAGAATCGCTTAAACAAATTAAATTGCACCTCTTTGGGCTGGTATATTTGATGGCATAGCGTCCAGTTTTAGAAATTTGTGGAGATAAGATTTCACCGATCTTATCAGGAGCCTGGGAGGTAGTGAAATGCATTGTGAGGTTTAAATTCGTTTTTGTTGTGCCAGTATGTATTACTCACAGTTGTGGATATATCTCCACTAAAACTTCCCTTTCATATTTTGTGTCAATATTGGAAGCTGAGTAAATGAATTTCCCCCTTTTTGGTTGAAAGTTGTGCTTCACATATTACGGTTATATTTCCCTCTGCCAAATTCATGTTGATAGGCTGAGCTCCTAAATTTGTACAATTATGGCTTATTCGTTAACAATGGTCATTGAAATGCACAATTACATTTTACAGCCATTACCACAGTGACCATTAGAGATGGAAAACTTGAAGGTTCCCATCCAGTGGGTCAGGTTTGGTGATTTATGTCTGATTCATTCTGGTGCTGATTCCTTCAGTGAGGAGAATGAGCAGTCCTTCAATGGATATCTTGATATTTAGTGGAAATAGTGCTGGCATAATTTTCTGAAAAAGTAAAATAATACAAGTCCTGGTGGGGTTTGTTATTATCCCACTAAAACCAGGAAAAAGCTACCTTGCACTAAATCTGTTTTTTTTCCACTGCTATCCTTAGTTTCCGAAGTGTGCCCGGAGAGTCAGTTAGTATTACATTAAATTAAATTTAAATTAATTTAAAATAGGAAATTTTAATTTGTGTTACTTTTACAGGAATAGGTGGTCCTGATTGTAAATTGTCAAATGTTCCCCTTGAATGGAAGTTGAATCACCTCACTCACGGTTTGCATAAAGTGCTCGAAGGACACAGACAATATTTAACTCATGTAAAGTACCCTGAGTATCCCCGGCTGTGTGTATGGCTTTTCTATAGGCCATTAGCTCATGCTTCCGTTTGACTGGGGCAATTTGGGGTGTGGAAAACCCATTGAATACTGCCTTCCTGGCCCATTTGTACCTCTTCTATGGAATATATGAGCTCCTTTCACTGCTCAGACTAGAGATGATTTTCCCATTCAGAAGATCTCTGTTCTGTCTCCTGAAATGCAGTCGAACTAAACAATGTAAATACCATTGCTCAGGGTCAGTTTGAAGCAAATAGGTAAAACCCCATCCTGCTGTAACCAGATCGTGGAGGTGTACTGCTCCTGTTGGAAATGATACAGCTTTTAAATTTTTTTATTAACTTTAGTCAGGGGTTTCTTTCATCATTGCCCCGGGGGAGGAGAACGGCAATTTTTGGAATTCTTGAAAATCATTCTTGATTATATAATTCTTTCCACTTCTGTTTTCTTGGTGGACGACCTGTAAATCCTAGTTCTAGGGAACGGTCAATTAGTCTGACATTACATGTAGAATTCTTGGTATCACCATGAAAGTTACTCCATCCCACATCTCACTAATATGGGTGAGATGTGGGATGGAGTGAATTTCATGGAGATACCAAAAATCCATGCAATTAAGTGTTGCTCAGGTGGGGATTTCCCTGTGTTCTAAAATTTCAGTAACACTCCAACGAACCAATTGTTCGTTAAAGGCCGTGTCTTTTCTAATTTCATCTCGTTTTGTAACAAGACTGCCAATCTTCAGGAGATGAAGTAAATTTTCTAATCTGCACAATGTCAGGAGCACTTGGAGCCCGCATAAGCATTAGCTAAACTTTCTCCTCCAACTTCTGTTTCCCTTTCTGTCCTCCTGTAACTGTCCCAGCTGCTGTTCTGTTTTCAAGGACAGTAATAACTCAGCTGCTTTCCAGTTGTCAGTTCTTGTTACTCTTTAATATTATATTTACTGGCAGGCAACCTTCCACTACCCCAGGTTGCTCCAACCCCCTCCAACCTGGCCTTGAACACTTCCAGGGATGGGGCAGCCACAAATTCTCTGGGCAACCTCTGCCAATACCTCACCAGCTTCACAGGGATGATTTTCTTCCCAATATTCAATGTAACCCACTGTCTTTAAAGCTGTCATGATGTACTGGGTCACCTTGGCTCTGTGCTCCAGCTCCCTCTTGTGGCACCAGGCTGCTGCTGCCTGTGCTTTGGCTTTCCAAGCCTTGCAGGGCTGTAGGAAACTTGAAAGTGTTGTTGACTTTGGGCTCTAACAAAGTTGCTGGACTTAGAGTCAAGTAAGGTGGAGCAGGCTCAGACAGTCCTTGGGATGGGAGTGTCAGGAAGCTCCTCAGGTTCCCTGAGAGCAGAGGGGTTCCTGTGCTCCTCCACAATGCTGCCTGGCAGTGGATCTTGCAGTTCCCTCATGGGGTTGGGATGCTCCCAGCTGGGAGGCTGAAAGCTCTTTGCTCACACAATCACCTCCATCATCTCCTTCTTCAGATGTGGAGCAGCGGAATCAACGAGGCCGGTAAGATGGCCCTGCTCGCCTGGGAGAAGGAGACCGGCATCGAGCTGGTGCAAATCAACGGGCAGAGGCACTACGGAGGGCCCCCCCCAGGTACGTCAGGAGGGCAGCTCGGCCGCGGCGCCCCGGCAGCGCGGCGGGGCTCGCCACGTCCCCGTGTCCCCGCAGGCTGGGTGGGCGGCCCGCCGCCGGTCGGCACCGAGGTGTACATTGCCAGGCTGCCGCAGGACGTCTACGAGAACACCCTGATCCCGCTCTTTGAGAGCGTGGGGAAGCTCTACGAGTTCCGCCTCATGCTGACCTTCAGCGGGCTCAACCGCGGCTTCGCCTACGCCAGGTACGCGTCCTGGCAGTGCGCCCGCAGCGCCATCGCCACCTTCCACCGCTTCCAGCTGCGCGAGGGCTGTGCCATCGTGGTGTGCTGGAGCACGCAGAAGCGTGAGCTCCTCATGAACGGCCTGGCTGCATCGGTGAGCCAGCAGGAGCTGGAGGCCAGGCTGCAGGGGGTCACTGAGGGGATCTGCAGTGTCACCCTGTACGCCAGCCCTCGCCAGAAACAGGCCAAGCTCGCTGTGCTGAAGTACAGGTCGCACAAGACTGCTGCCCAGGCCAAGAAAGTCCTGATGGAAGGTGAGTGGTGCTGAGGGATGCTGCTTGGGCTGGTCTTCCTGGTGTCTTGCACCTCCAGGCTTGGCTGAAAGGTGACTTCAGCCTTGAGACACCCCTTGCTCTCCCTGTGTCCTGTGGGATGCCAGCTGCCCTTAGTGCAGTTGATTTCCAGCAGTCCTATTGGTGGTGGGATGAAGGGGCTGCTGGAGGTTTCCAGGAAGCTGCCTAGTCAGAGCAGGAGCATCACCAGTACCAGTTCAGGGCATCCAGAACATTAACCAAGTTATTAAACCTTTCCTGAGCTGCCCAACCCCTCAGTGTCCCTTAAACTCACCTGATGTAGCTGCTCAGTCCCTCTGAGCCCCATACCATGATTGCAATGCCCTGATGGGACACACTTGCCAGACATCCAACTGGGACCTCCAGAGTCCTGGTTTGTACCCATTCATGCCCCAGCTGAGAGGAGCATTTGGCTTTGGTATCTGTTCACCTTGGCCCTAAATTTGAGCTGCCCCTAAAATCCTGGAGATCACTGTAAGGGATGGGATGCAATGGGATGGAATGGTGCTGGAGCATCTCCTGTCTCCTAGGGAACTTGAAGCTTGGGGAAGCAGGGATGAAGGTGGACTGGCTGGACCCCCGACTGAAGCAGAAGCTGCAGCTCTGTGAGGAGGAGCCATCGTCCAGCTGGGCGCAGGGAGGCAAGAGCCTGGAAGTGCCCAGGCTGACGGCCCTGCCTCTGTCGCTGCAGAACGTGCTGGAACACCTGAACATGGTGTGCTGGAAGCATCGCCTGAGGACACCCCTGTTCATCATCAGGTGTGTCCAGGTGAACCCCAACGGGTGGCAGCGGTTCTGGTACCAGGTGGTGATCCCGGATTACCACGTGTCCGTCAGTGGCTTCACTTGGGTCTTGCCAGACAGGCAGGGCCAGAGTGAGCATGAGAAGGCCAAGATGGCAGCAGCCCTGCACACTCTCAAGGTGTTAGGTGAGTCCTTGGTAAGTCCTTGCATAGACAACTCCTTGTCTTTCCCAAAGTCTTGAAGAGTCTCCTGGGGATTGGAGCTGTGGCACTTCTGGGGCAGGGAGGGACCCAAGCTGGCAGGCAGGGCGGAAACACTGTCACCTCAGAGCTGTGGGTGGGATTCCTGTTTGGAAGCACAGGATGCAAGAGGGAGGGGGTTTGGGGGCAGAGCCTGACGCTTCCCTCTCCACTGCAGGGTGCCAGCTGACCTAGGCAACTGCTCTGCCAGAGCCACGATTGAGCCTGAGCCCTGCTGGGGTCCTGGCCCTGTTCCAGCTTCCCTTCAGGTAGTTTGCATCGGTTTGCAATGGCTGCTGTCCTCGTTCCTGGGCAGCCCTTGAGTTGGTTCAAGTTTTGGGTTGTTGGTTTTTCTGCCAAGTTTGGCTTCTGTTAAGCTGGTTTGTGTTGTTGCGTTGGAGGGGCAGATCCTGGAGAAGCAGCAGCTCTGGGAGGGGCTGCCAGCACTGGATGCCAGTGTGATGGAGGGAATTCCTCCACTGGCACGGCTGGTTCCTGAGGAACAGCCTCAGGGGAGGACAAGGCCACACACAGGGAGTGTCCCAGTGGTCTGGAGGAGCTGCTGTGTGGCGAGAGGAGTGCCTGTAACCTGTTTGCATAGTGAGGAAGCAGCTGTCCATGAATGTCCAAGCAGTGTTGCCAGCTGTCCATGAATGATTCCTCAGGAGTGGGAGGTTAGGTCACATGTTGTTCTTTTGAGATTAAAGAGTTCTGGAAAGCACCAGCTGTGTCACATCATCTTTTCCTCCTGTATCCTCAGCTCCCTGCCCGTCAAGTGCATCTCTCCTCACACCAGGAAAGGCAATTGGAAGGGACAGGGTGGGATTTGGTGCCTTCAGAGCCTGCTAGGCCCACTGTGTGGGAAGCAGCATTCCCTGGCACCTTGATCTTTGTTGTCTTCTACTCACTGGGCTTTTTCTGGCCAGCTTTTGATATCCCTCAGGCTCCTCCGAGTGCTTTCTCATGTCCTCCCCAGTGAACCTCTGTGACATCTGGTAACACCTTGTTGGCAGTTAGGGTTTTTCCTTTTGTTTCTCTCTGTCTTGGGGAATTTTCCCGTTTTTGTTGCTAAGGAACAATAAGCACTCCAAGGGAGGCTGCTGCCTTCCTTAGCAGACACCTGTCTTTCAAACCAAGACACCCTTTTATGCTCTCCAGGGACTCCAGGTGTCTCTCAGCTCCAGGAATGCCTCTGGCCATGTCCCAGCAAGTGCAGCACAAACTCCTGGGCCAGCAGCAGCTGGGGGCTGCAGTTGGTGCTCCAAGGGGTCCCAGGCAGTGCTGGGAATCAGCTGAGGGATGTGAGCCACAGCCAGGAGTAGAAATCCTGGCGGAACTGCACCAGATCCTGTTGACCAGCAGGTGCAGGGGGTCCTGCAGGGGCTTTGGTTGCAGTGTCCAGCAGTATCTGACACTGTTCCAGGCCCTGCAGCCACTGCCCACTCTGCTCGTCCCCAGGGAAGGACCCATCCCAGGAGGGATCCCTGCCCCTCTCCCCCTCATGGCACACTGTGATGCATATCTGGACCCACCATGTCCTTTTAGCAGCACCCAAATCCCACCCCTCTTCCTTTTGGAGATCCCCAGGATCCTCCAAGAGCCTTTTGGTACACTCTTAAGTTCTTTTTTGCACTCCCTGGAAGTCTGTCTGTCCCTCTTGGGGCACTCCAGGAGTCCTTCCCTCATGAGGATGAGCCAAACCATCAGCACAAGGCACTGGGAAATGAAAGGCACTGGGTTTATTTCTAACAGAGCTTAAGTCTTAATTAACAACAAAATAAACAAATTAATAAAGTGACCTGCTGGGCCAGCGAGGCAGGAAAGCAATGAATCTGTGTGGCCTGGCCAGGCACCCCCGGACCCCATGTCACCCCCTCACCCCTCCTGAGAAATGTCCTGCCTCCCCCCACCCCAGGACACCCAAAAACACCAGCAAAGCCTCTGCCCTCCCAGTGCTGCATCCCCCACCGGAGCCCCCCAGCTAGAGGGTGAGGGTGCCCCCATCTCAGAGCCACTCCCCATCCATCACGGACCCCTTCCCAGTCCCTTCCCAACCCCAGCCTGTGCCCCCATGCCGGGGCCCCCCACGGCTCCTCCGAGCCACCATAACCGCTGTCCCCTGCTCGGACACGCGCACAGCCCAGCTTGAGTGGCAGCCCTAGGAGCCAATCAGAACGCCAGCGCCCTGCCCAGCGATACCGTTCGCACTACACTGAGGCCACGCCCCTTAGGCGGGCACTCCCAGGAGCCGCGGCTCTGATTGGCCGCGCCCCGCGAAAAGAGGCGCAGAGCCCCGCCCCCGCGCCGGGCGGGGCGGCAGCGCTGAGGGGGCGGCCCCCGGCCCCGCGCGGCCGCTCAGTCGCTGTCGCTGTCGCTGCTGTCACCGCCCTCACCCACCGCCGCCTCCGGCTCGGCCTCGTCCCGCAGGTCAGCGAAGAAATCCTCCCCGCTGCCCAGCGCCTTGCTGCTTAGGGCGCGCAGCGGCCCGCCCTTCTTCTTCTTCCGGCGGTAATCATCGACCACCATGGACCCGAGCGCCGACACGTCCCAGAACTTCACCTTCTGGTCGTGGCCGCTGCTGGCCAGGAGCTTCCCGTCCGCGGCCACGGCCAGCTGCTCGATGGGCTCGCCCAGGTGCTGCCCCACGCAGCCCAGCACGCGGTTCGGTAGCACGTTCACCGCCCTGCGCACGGCACGGGGCACTGAGGGCCCTGCAGCGCCCGGGGACGCCGTCTGCCCTCCTGTCCTGTGTGCTGGGCAAGGCTGATCCCGTCCCACACCCTCCTCATTCCATCCCTTCCGCGTCCCACACCTCCCCATTCCTCTCCATCCCATCCTCCACAATCCCCATCTCAGCCCCTCCCCATCCCACGCCATCTCCAGCCCACTCCTCTCCCCTTTCTACCCCACCATCCTCCCCTCCCTATCCCATCTCACCCCCCACAATCCTTCCTGATCCCATGTCCTTCCATCCCTCTCCATTCCCCCTCACCCCATCCCACAGCTCCCCATCCCTCCCCACGGCACTCCCCTGACCTGATGACTCCATCCAGGGACCCCACGCACACGATGCTGTCTGTGATGGGCACCATGCAGTCAATGGTCTCTGCCCTGAGCGCAAAGCGGTCGCTGGCGGCCCCGAAGCCGTCCCAGTTGAAGAGGTAGATGGTGCCTTCACTGGAGCCACATGCCACCTTCCTCCCCCTCTAGGCACGAGAGAGGGCAGTGAGGCAGAGGCAGAACAAAAAACTGGAAGCGAGGACAGAGGGCAATGGGATCCTGCTCCACACTGGGGAGCAGTGCCAACCTTCATCAGCACCACAGATGTCAGGTCCCCGTTCTGCGGCTCTGAGAGCAGCTCAAAGCGCCGTCTCTTCACGTTGAAGACGCCCAGGGTGCCATCACCACTGTGGGAAGGGACACGTGAGCACACAGCACTCCAGCCACGAAGAGACACAGGGAACCCAAGACCATGAAACCCCTCCGATACCTGGCTGTCAGTAGGATCTTCCCGTTGCCATCCACAGTCATGGCACTGATGTATTCCTCCTGCTGCCGTGCCTCCAGGATGGCGCTGCCCTTGCGCAGGTCCCACACCTTCACTGCCCCGCCTTCGTCACCCGTGGCAAAGATGTGGTTGTCGATGGGCAGCACGCAGTTGAGGGCCGACCTGCAGAGACCCCGGCCCCACACCCCCGCGGTCACTCGGGCTCTCCCTGCCCGGCCCAGGGCTGTGTGGCCCTGTCGCGGGAGGGAAGGGGACAATGCCCCAGCCGTTCTGCCCAGAATGAGCCGCCTGTATGGACTTACTCGTGGGCCTTGGGGAAGCGCGTTTCCAGCCGTCCTTCCTCCGCTGTCAGAATGTGGATGGACTTATCCTTGGACACAGTGAAAAGCTCTGGAGAGCCGCGTTAGTGCCCCCGCCCGGCGTGCCCCGGTGCCACCCCACGTCCCCCGCACTCACTCTGCCCGTCCTGGGAGAACGCCACGTCCCGGCACGACTTGAGGTGATGTCCCGAGGACCAGAGCTGCCGGTTCTCCCCCTCGGTGCAGGAGTACGAGTACCTGCCGGCACGGGGAGTGCTCGCCGGGACCCGCGGGCGGCCGGGGAGCTCCGCCGCCGGTGCCCAGCGGGTGCCAGAGCCGGGAACCCTCCCCAGCCCCGGCCCCACTCACAGGTACACGTCGCCGTCCACGTCCCCCGCGGCCAGCAGCGGCCGCGCCGGGTGCAGAGCGATGGCGTTGGCCGTGGCCTCCAGACAAATGTCCTCGGGAGTGTCCCGCACTCGCGGCTCCCGCGCCGCCGGCTCCGGGGACTCCTGGGGCTCCTGAGGAGAGCGGGGCCGTGGGACCGGGGCCGGGGGCTCCGGCGTCCCGCAGCCCCACGCGTGCTCACCTCCTCCATGGCGGCCGCCATGGTGCCCTGCTGATTTACATGGCCACGCCTCGTTTACATAGACACCGCCCCTTTGTTTACATGGGGCCGCCCTCTCCAGCGCTGCGGGCCCGGCCCGGCTCGGGGGACACTGCCTCAGGGGATACCGCCTCAGGGGACACCGCCTCAGGGGACACCGCCTCAGGGGACAGTGCCTCAGGGGACAGTGCCTCAGGGGACACCACCTCAGGGGGCACTGCCTCAGGGGACACTACCTCGGGAGACACCGGCTCGGGGCTCCAGCCTGCGGGCGCCCGTGGTCCCATTTCACCAGGTCGCTCCCCACCCACCTCATGTTTTGCTGTTCTTTAGCGCTTCACCATTGGGAGCTCCACAGGCTCCTTAATTCGCACCACAGGGTCCTTAGTTCACACTGTCATCCCCTCTCTCTGTTCCCAGGGGAGGGGCAGCCAGGGGCCAGATAGCACTTCTGCCCCTTGCAGGGCCTGCAGGGATACCCCCTAAAGACCCCAGCCCAGCCAGGGACCACCAGCAGCACCCCTGCCCGAGGGGCCAGCCCAGCTCCCTGCTGGCCCCATCACACACACCCAGAGCAGCCCTCTGCCAGCGCTCAGAGCAGCAGAGAATGCTCATTCAGGTCATTGCACATGCTGTACCCTACCCAAGGTCCCATTTCTTCCCCTTGCCCTGAGGCACAGAATGTTCACCTGGGATTATTGCTCCCAAATAGACTTGTCAGTTTTATCCAGGGATGCTGCCCCCAGCCCAAAAGGCTCCCTCAATAAATACACTGAGCCACGGTTTGCCCTGTCAGCCCCAAGTGTGCTTGCTAAGTAGAAGAGTCCTAGCCTCCCTTCTGTTTCAAAGAAGGCTAGAATGTGCCCAGGCACCTCCTCTCTGCACAAACAGATGACCACACACAAATTTAATGTGATTTTATTAAGGCTACAACATTTACACAGCACAGGCTCTACAGCAAAGAACAGAGTGAGGAAGAGCCCCCAGCCCTGAGCAGAGAGTGGACGGTGTGTGGGGCAAGGAAAGCACACCAGCACGCTCCAGGAAGGCAGCTCCCAGCAGGCCAGGCTTCCAGGAGGAAAAAACATGGGAGCCATCAGTACTTGGGACGTTTCACCTCAACCCTGGAAGAGAGAGGGGCAGGAGAGTGGTGAGGATGCAGGGCAGGCAGCTCCACCACCCTCCCACCCAGAGCTCAGCACTGACATCCACACTCTCACACCACAGAAGGTGGGGGGCCCCCAGTATGGCCCCAGAAGCTGAGCCACAAGCAGAGACTACTGTACTTACCCATCAGCCTCCAACTTCTTCCTCTTCTCGATGATCTGCAGAGAAAGCACAAAGTCCTATTACCCTCAGGGAATCTGGCTGCTCACAACTAGCAGAGGGGCTGGAGGATGCCAGATACACTGGGGAGAGCTGCAGCCAGGCCAGAGAGCTGATGTGAGCTACAGTTGGAGAAGCTTGGCCTCTTCACCCTTTGCTCCTTTCTGGCCACCACAAATCATTTGTTCTCACCTTCCCCAGCCCACCCCACCCTGCTCACCCTGCCCCAGCTCTGCCAGCTGGCACAAACAGGGAGCCACTAAACATGTCCTGTCCCCTCCCATCCCCTTTGGATGGCTCCAAACTAATTGTTTTGGACATGTTCATCTGCTGCACAGCCCAGAGCAAAAAGCCCCTGACTGGGGCTGCTCTCAGTTCCAAACAGAGCTCCAGACTCTTCTGCAATACTGAAGGCCCAAGTATTTGCCTGATACTCTTGCAAGGAGCAAATCCAGCTGGTAGAGCCAGCTCTGGTGCTCACACACACATTGCCAATGGCTGGGATGAGCCGTGGCTGGGACAGTGAGGACAGGAGTGGGGGGGAGCTGTCCTGGGCAGCTCCAGGCTCAGTAGCCCCAGCCCAGCTCGGGCACTCACCGCACTGATCTTCTTCCACTGCCGGTCCAGCTCCGCCTTGTCATTGGTCTCCTTGAAGCGGCGCGTCTTGCGTCCCTCAGACATCTTGATGCCGTACTGGAAGGCTGCCCTGGAGAGGGAGCAAGACATGGCTCAGCACCCACAGGGGATCCACAGCCTGCCAGAGAAAGGGACACATCTCCCCAGCCATGTTCCAGAGTTTGCCTGAGCCCCCAAAAGCAGCGCCTGGGCTGGAGTCCTCAAGAGTGACACTAAGAGCAAAAACAAACCACCAGGCCCAGGATCCACAGCTCCTCCCCAGGTTCTCACAGGGGAGCCCCCAGCTTGCTTTAAGCTGCCCCAGCACCCAGGCTTGGCCAGCACAGTCATCCCACCCAGAACCCTCACTTGGCCCTTCCTGAGGGCTACACTCACTTGGGCAGAGCCTCTTTGTTGTTCATGTACTCGCTGTACTCCTCCTGGGTGTCAAAGTCCCAGCGGCCCAGAGGCCCCTTCTTGTTACCCTGCAGGGATTACATTACAGACAATGACTCAGAGCAGCTTCTCACACAGCCACAAGGCTCCATCTCCCACCAGCCCCAGATCAATGGCCTTGGCTCCATATTCCCTCCCCGAGAAGTTCCAGACAGATTTTGTAGAAGTCAGAACAGAGTAGCATGCCTGTCAACACCTCTGGGTCAAGTGCCAGTGATACTTGTTTGCCCCCTGACACAACAGTGAACTGATCAGCAAACCCCAAAGCTCTCAGCACCCAGCTCCACTGCTGCTTCTTTCCCATGGGATCCTCGCTGGCACTGGTGCATGCTTTGCTGGCTGCTCCTAAAGGCTGGTGCCAACATACCTGATCCATTTTGCTGTAGTCTACCTCTTCATCACTGTCCACAGCCATATCATCCATTCTGGGGAGAAAAAAAATCAAGGAAAGGGTTCAGAGTGGGTGCCTGAGATGGATCAGGACCTTGGATGGTGGGAGTCATGTCTCGTGGCCTCAGACCAAACACACAGCTCCTGGACCAGAGGGGAGTAGCCCCAGCTGCAAGCCCTGCAGGTGGACCTGTACCTACAGGGCATCCAAGGTTGGAAATGCTCCCAGGATGACTCTGCAGGCTAAAAAGATGTCCCTCTTCCACCGAGGGAGCCCAGAGCTTCACAACCACATGGATTAACAGGGAATGCAGCAGATTCCCAGGCATCTCAGCCTCCCCTTGGCTCTGAGGGGCAACAGGCTCCAGGCAGCCACTTACAGCAGAGAGCAGCTAGGAAGAGCCTGAACAAGGGCTTGGGATGGTTTTACCAGGCAGCTGTTCCCACAGACAAGGCCAGACCTGCTCTCCCAAGGAGCTGTGAGGCTGATGCTCAAATTCATGCTGCCAGAGAACAGCAGCCCCATGGCACATCCTCTCCCACCCACAGCTCCCTGCTGCTCCTTACGTGGCAGGGTAGCACTCAGCATAGCTGTTGGACATGCCAAAGAAGTCTCCAAGCTGCTTCTTGTCTTCTGGCTTCTTCAAAGTGGCAGCAGATAAGGAAAGCACCGCATGAGCTGAGCCTTACAGCTACAGGCTGGGCACAGCCAGCTGAAAAACCCCATCCTACCCCAACACAACTGAACTGGGGGGTGAAGCTTTTGTTTGGTGTAGGAGAAGCAAGGCTTGGGCCGCATTTCCCTGCTACGAGGTGAGGCAGGACAGCCCCCAAGATGTGCCTGTGCCTGCAAGGGCAGCCCAGCCCCACAGCCAGCCAGGCTGGCACAGACAGTAAAGGATATGCCTCTGTTCCCTCCCAGCCAGCAGCTCCAGCAAACTTCTCATTGATGGACTTGATGAGCTCCTTGGCTGAGCCAGGTCCTGGGGTAGAGAAAGCAGCAGGTTAAATCTGGGGGGAAGAACAGCTCACTGCAGAACACTGGGGCTGGACAGAGTCACTCTGGGACACAGTAACAGGCAGGACAAGCTGCACATGAGGTACGAGGGGAGGAGCAAACCAGTTTGGCACTGATGGGGTCTGCTGATCCCAGGAGACCTGGAATCTTACAATGGTTTGTGTTGGAAGGGATCTTGAAGCCTATCTTGTTCCAACTCCCTGCCATAGGCAGGGACACCTTTCACTATCCTGGGTTTCTCCTAGCCCTGTCCAACCTGGGCTTGAACACATCCTGGGATGGGCCAGCCACAATTTCTCTGGACAACCTCTGCCAGGTGCTCACCACTCTCACAGGGAAGAATTTCTTCCTAATATCTAATCTACATCTCTCCTTTTCTAGCTTAAAACCCTTCCCCCCTTGTCCTATCCCTCCCAGGGATCCGCACCACTTGACTCACCTTTGTCAATGTCTGTGGGCTGCAAAGAGAAGGGAGAGACAGTGTCAATCACACAGAGCTGAACCACAAACCCAAACAGGCTGGTGCTGCCTCACTTGCTGAGGGACCAGCCCTGGGGCCAGGCAGAGCTCAGCAAGAGCTGACAATAGCACGTGTAGGGGCACAACCATTGATACCCAAAGCCCCCCAAGCCCACAAAGGGCAGAGCTCCGGTGGGACAGTCCTTCATGAGCAGAGACTCACTTCATCATCAGCCTTGGGCTTCTCAAAGTAGCTGTGCCTCTTCTTCTCCTCCTCCCGCTCGCGGTCCCGCTCCCTGTCTCTCTCGCGCTCCCGGTCCCTGTCACGCTCTCGCTCCCGGTCTCGCTCCCGGTCCCGCTCTCTCTCCCGGTACCTCTCCCGTTCCTTGTCCCGTGGCATCTTGGCAGTGGAGGGCACATAATCCCCAATGTCTTCAAAGATGCTACAAGTGGAAAAGAGCCTGGAGTTACGTTGTGCTGCAGAAAGAGGCCATAACCACCTCCTTGTGACCTGGAGCACACAGGACCGAGAGCTAAGGACACCAGATATGGAAGTGGTTTCCACATCTGTCAGAGGTATCACTGCACTTCTGCTCCCTTCTGCTGCAGGACCTGAGTTGTGTGGTCCAGGGCAACAGTGAGCCCTCACCTGTCTCAAGCCTGAAATCCAAACCAGAGCTTGCCTCCAGCCTTGTCCTATAAACCACAGGTCCAGCAGCTCCAAACTCAGCCCACTCTAAATGTGGTGGGTC